GCGCTTGAATAAGCGACAAAGATTACGCCAGGCAGTATGTTCCTAAAAAAAACATGCTGACATGGGTCGTTTTAGGTCAATGACCTATTCCGACCTCTAAGAAGTCTATGGAAGATGTAAACTGCGATTCCTGCAATCAATAAATTCGAAATAAGCACCAGAAACTATCCCATACAGCAAGCCCTGGAGTAATAAAGCAGACTGGTTTTGACCGTGGTTTGACCTTCATACCTGACCTTAGGTCAACTTAATTTGCCCACTCAATATTTGTGTTGCCTAAGAAAGCATCTCAGAGACTTATGGATTCGTCTAGCACTCCGTTGTATCATCAGATTGAAAGATTCCCTAGAAATTGACTTCGCTGAAACCATGGCCTGATTTTGACCTGCCATAGGTCAGCGACCTTACGAGGTACATCTAAATTTGTAATGCCAAACGATCCGCTACTTAATTGTCTACAGCTATGCAAAATTTGGCGCGGCCGTGCCGCGCCGTTCGGAAACCATTGTGGAAAAACCTCTGGGGGGTCAATTTGCACCCCAATCCCACGCGAGTTCGTGTAAAAGTGCTTCTAACTCAGTCAGGTACGCTTAACTGTACTTCGTATCGCAGTTTTCAGTGACTTTGGTTCTTTCGCCTGCGAAACAATGGTTAGGAACCTTCTTTAAATTTCACATAATTTCGAGCTTCTATTTGTAATGTCCTATATGAGCTTGGGTTCCAGAAGGTTGGGGGGCAAATTCACCGTTGGGGGAGGGGCAGATTGAACATGGGGGGGCAGTGCCCCACTCAAAAGAATACAAATCGACAACCGTGCGTGCTACCCCGGTTTGTATCTGATCTTTCGTGGACCAGATAGGGATTGCAAGCAGCATGAGTACACATATTTGGATATGCCACCTCTGCTGGAAATGTGATCTTAAGACGCACACCTCTAGCTGGACATTTTTGTTTTGTACACAGCCTCCAACGACAGCGCTTTCTATATACATGTGGTCGTAGTGTAATATACTGTGCTCGCAGGACTTGTATATGATATTTCGTGGATCGTGGGTGGTGCTGGGTGGGTGTGCCAGCAGCATGAGTGCACGTATATGGAGGTGTGACTTCTGTTGAAAATGCTAACCTAAGAGGCAGGAACCAGGAAATATATGAAACTTACATCTCTGGCGACCTACTCCAAGCGCTTTACATTCTTTGCTCATTAGTTCGCGAAAGGTTGACTTCAAAATCTGGGCAAAACTAGACCAGTTATTCGCCAAAAATGGCCTCAGTCGCATTAATCTATACCAGTTTTATTTTTGCATAATGTAATACTAGTGTAATAACATTCATCTGCCGAAAATATCAAATTTGTACTGCAGGGATAGCTTTCATCAGCATGCAATGGCTTTCATGCACCTTACCTTGCAACCATTATACCGTACTTGGGGATTGAAAACGATGATGTTGAAAATTTTCAGCACTGGCACCTCTGGTTGCACCCATATTGTGAGTGCAGCTATAGCAGAAAAGTGCACACTTATCTTCTATGTCGATTTGACTTATGTTTCGACTTATGATGTGATCTTGGCAGTACATTGATGCTATACGCAAGTTCGTAGCAATGTTTACTTGAATGACGCACTTGAGACAAGGTAAACGTGTTTAGACAACGTGAGTTGAAGCCATTACAAAAGTGTTGCCAGTGGGTGCCGTCCGTTGCATAGAAAATTGTGCTTACTTCCATCTCATCCTTTTTATCCCCGATAACACTTTGTTGATTGATGTAAGGGACATAGTTTACCATAAGAAAGAGCTAACGAGGACCGAAGCAGGTAGGAAGTCACTGTTTGACAAACTGCGAAATAGTTCCTACGCGTGAATGTCACAAAACAAGACGAGGAGCAGCCACAGCGCGGCAACATTTTTGAGCGCATGTGTCCTGTAACTCTGAGCTCTCAAAGGTTGGTATACAGCTGATACCAACCTTAGTGTAAGTAGAACTAATATTTCAAATTATTATGAAGTTGAAAAGATAATGTCAGGCAAGCAGACCTTGAAAAATTCACTGAAGAATGAATAGAAATCTGCTCAATTTAGCCTGGGTTGCATTTTGTTGATGCAAGTGTGCCCTAAGCAGGTAAAAAGTTGCTATTCATGCGCAAACAACAGCACATCAAACCAATGACTAATGCCACACTTGTGTTGGGTGCAGTGGATGAATGTTTGATATACTAGCCAGGATGGTCTTGTTTTGAAGCTTTGAAAGGGCTGTAGATAGATGTCTATGCCTTTCTGTACATATGTTTTTGATGTCCATTGCTTACAAATTCAAGTCAAGTCAAGTACAATAGTCAATAGTCAAGTCAAGTCAATAGTCAAGTACACACCTTTTTCAGTAGCTCGATCAGCAGCAAATCCTTTTATGGTTTCTTGGTCAGCAGCTGATTTTCTTGTTCTGATCATGGAAATATAAAAGATGAGTTATTGAGGTAAAATTAAGTGGGGATGTTTAGCATATCAAAAAAGAAAAGACATTGCTTGTAATTCATCACACAGTACAAGGAAAACAGACAATTTTGATATTGACTTACACTTGGTATTAACTGATATTGGCTTATGTACACTTATATTGATAGTTTTTAGATGTAAATTTAAAGTTTACATTCTTGCATTTTGTCATTTTTTCTGAATGGTGTGTGAGGCTTGTACTGACTTCAGAGTACTCCATTAGCAAAAGTTATTGCAAGTACCCTAGATTCACCAACCAAGATGTGTGAACCAGCTAAACAAATAATATTCTGTTTTTATCAGCCCCTTAGTCATACTGGACCAGAACATTTTGTTTGCAGCACAATCCACAGCCACCAAGCTACCAAGGTCAAGGATGCCCCCCATCAGCCTGTTTCTAGTTGGCCTTGCAGCTGATGCAAATAATTATCTTGCCATTTTCATCAGCCTCAAAGGCTTGTTCTGCACCAATGAATGATTTATATATTGTATTGCTGATGCAGTGAGTTTCAAAATTGCTGGTGCACACTTTTCATATTTCCTGAAGCATCATCACAATCAGAGAGCAATGTGTTTTGATTCCAGGAAACCATGGACATCCAGCATGTTGTCATGCAATCACAGCGGCCATTTGTGGACCAGCAGAAGTGCCTGGTCAGCTCGGACGTGCATGCGTCGTTGGGTGTCGCTGAAGGCCGTCTGGTGCTGGTGACCGCTGGTCGGCAGACTGTCATCTGCCGTCTGTACTCGCGGCCGGACCTGCGCCCGGGCACAATACTGGCTGACGGCTGCGTCACGTGTCGAGACGCCACCGAGCCGGCCGCCGGCGTGCCCATGTTCCGCTGCCCGCCGGAACGCCCCCTGCCGACGCTGGAGGTGACGGTCGTGTGTGACGCCGTGGAGGACGTGCTGCGGCTGCGGCGGCGCGATGCGGCGCGCGCCGCCGGCCGCCTGCTGGCTGGCCGCGGCGTCTCGGCACGCTGCCGGGTCAGCTGCGCCGGCACCCCGCTCGGCCGCCGGCTCGGCGTCGCCTATGTGGAGTTGTCCGGCCCGGTCGGCGACGCTGTTGGCACGGCGGACGCCGACACGTGTCTGACGGTGGCGGCGGTGGTGACGCGGCGACACGCGGAGTTCGCCGCCAAGCGGCCGCCCACCAGCGGCCACGGCGCGGGGCGGGCGCGGCTGACGGCAGCGGCGCGCCACTTCTGCCGCGTTGAGTCGGCGCGCTCCTCCAGCCTGCTGCTGCTCGGCCCGGCCGGCTGCGGCAAGGCGACGCTGGCGCGCGCCGTGGCGGCGTCGGTCGGCGCGCTGGCGCTGACGCTCCGTCTCGACGACCTGCCCGGCGAGCGGCCCGGCGCCGGCGAAACCGAGCTGCGCCGCCGTTTCGCCGAGGCGCGCCGCTTCGCCGACTGCGGGCCGCTGCTGCTGCTGCTGCGCGCCGCCGACGCCGTTGGCGGCGGCCCGCTGCTGCAGCTGCTGCAGCTGTTGGACGAGGTGCGCAGCTGGCCGCGCACGCTGGCCGTGGCCACGTGCAGCCGGCCGGCCGACCTGGCGCCGGCACTGCGCAGCGCGGCGCGCTTCGACACAGAGGTACGCAGTGTCGCTGTCTCATGCGTCGAGGCTGGCGGGTGACTGTAGCACTGCTTACCGGCGTTCCCTTGGATCGGCTCGATGCTTCACAGAGCCGCCGGGCTGTCGTGGTGACGTGTCGGTGCGTCGACGCAGGTGCACCTAACGGTGGGGGACGCGTGTGACCGGCTGGAGCACCTGGAACACCTGCTGGCGGACCGGCGGCTGGTCGACTGCTCCCTGCAGCAGCTGGCCGACATGACGCCCGGGTACTCGGTGGCCGATCTGGTCTCCCTCTGCCGCGAGGCTGTGTTCGGACGTCAGGTTCAGGTCAGGGTCAGGCGTGCGCGCGCTCGGTCGCTGGGAGTCACGCGCGGTACCTCGGTGTCTCGTTTGTCTCACCAGGCCGGATCGAAACCGCCCGGTCGAGGGAGGTATCAGCGTGCTCGGTTCAGTCAGAAGTCTGATGACCCGTGTCCGGTTGAGTGCGTGTCAGAATGTCTGGCTCCAGTTTGAGTTGTAAGTGTTCAGCTGCCGTTTAGGCGGGAGTGAACGTGTGTGTGACGTCACAGCGCTGCCTGGACTGAAGCATCTACCGACGCCGAGCAACGTGCCGGCCTCTTCTGATGCCACTGCCGGCCCTCCCCGCCCCGCCATCAGACGACCGCTCTGACACTGGCCGACTTCACGCGCGCGCTGCACGTGATCCGCCCATCGGCGCTGAAGTCCGGGCCGGGCGCGGTGCCGCTGCCGCCGCTGGCCTGGTCCCAGCTGGCGGGCGTCTCGAGCCTGCGCGCCCGACTGCGCCGCTGCCTGGTGACGCCGCTGACGCGTCCCGACGCGCACCGGCGCTTGGGCGTGCCGGCGCCGCGCGGTCTGCTGCTGCACGGGCCGCCCGGCTGCGCCAAGACGAGCCTGGTGCGCGCCGCCGCCTCCGAGTGCCACGCAGCCTTCCTCAGCGCCACGCCGGCCCAGCTGTTCTCGCCGTATGTCGGCGACTCGGAGCGCGCCGTCAGCGAGCTTTTCGCGCGCGCCAGGATGACGGCGCCGGCCGTCATCTTCCTCGACGAGCTCGGTGAGCGGGGAGACGAGGCAGGGGTAGAGGAACGCTGGCCTGGCTGGGGGTAGCCGCCGCCCGCCGCTCGGCCGCCGGGTCTGGTGTCAGCGACCCGCCCGGCTTCGGTTTAGGCGTAGCTGGGTGGCCGAGGCACTGGAGGGGCTCTGTTTTTCGCCCGCTGGCCGGGTTTAGCACAGGTGAAACACTGGCTCACCACTGGGCGAGCCATGGCGCTGCCTTGCCTTTGTCTCTGTCCTTGCCCAGGCCTGAGAGCAGCATCCGGTTCGGGCAGCGTCTGTCTTTTGAAATCGTCGCAGCTTGCGACAGGGCTGTGCGCCGTCGCGTCTGACCGCTGCCTGTGGCGCCAGCCTGAGCTCTTACCGCCCACTCCAGACGCCATCGTAGGCACGCGGAGCAAGAGCGGCCAGTCGGGCGTGCAGGCCAAGCTGCTGTCGGCGCTGCTGAACGAGATGGACGGCATCGGCATCCGGCAGGACCAGGCGGTGAGTGGCCTGCCGTCGCTTTCCGCGTGCTGACACGGGCTGGACCCGTTGCACGGCTGTCGTCTGTGACAGGCGGCAGTGGACTCAGTGCCGCAATTGCCTGTTAGAAAGATCGGCCATGGACGGTGGAATAAGACATGGGCGCGTCAAGTCGTTAGGATCAACACTCATGTAGAGAGAGAGGGTTATGAGACGGTTCAAACCAATGAGTCAAAGCCCTCGCACCAATATATCCGTCCCAGGCAGCGAGGGCCTTCGGGAAAACAAAGAGTCCGCAAACCCAGCCAACGCCGCAGGCTGGAGGTACCGGCGTCAGCGCCCGTGCTCGATACGCCCGTCTGTTGCAGGCGGTGGACAGGGCCGTGTTTGTGGTGGGCGCCACCAACCGGCGGGACCTGATCGACGAGGCCCTGCTGCGGCCCGGCCGGCTGGACCAGCACATACGCGTGCCACTGCCAGACCTGCAGGCGAGGCAGGAGATACTGCAGGCAAGGGATGAGCTCTGCAGGCCCAGTGGAGTGTGAACACCAACAGGCCATTTCGGGCAATGGCCCGTAACTGTTCCGTATACGGACACTTGTTGAAGGTTACGTTCCCTGACATTCTAACTCGGCGCAATGGGTCCTAAGTGGTTAAAGATGTGTGATTCTGAAACACATCACGAAAGAATCGCCTACGATCACCCCTCAACGTTCATCACCTCGCAGCGTTTAGGTCAGCATGCTGCTGCAAACAAGCATGATGCTGGTGAACAACCTGGCGTGACCGAGCCCCGCGTCCGTGGTAGCCCGAGGCTGCGTGTCGCCTGAGGTGACCAGAGTGTGCGCCGCCGTCGCTGCAGCTGTACCTGTCCAGGATGCCGACGGCCGGGGACGTGTCGGTGGCGCAGCTGGCCCGGCTGACAGACGGCTTCTCCGGCGCCGAGCTGCGGCATCTGTGCAACGAGGCCGGCCTGGCGGCGCTCACCGAGGACCGGGCGGCCACCGCCGTCCGCCGCCGCCACTTCAGCCATCAGCTGGTGACGGAGCCGGAGCCGGAGCCGGAGCCGGAGCCTGAGCTGGAGCCTGTCGACGCGGCAGGCTCTCCAGTGGAGATGTGCGCCGGCGTCTGACGTTCGCCACTTCAGCCATCAGCTGGTGACGGAGCCGGAGCCGGAGCCGGGGCTGGAGCCGGAGCTGGAGCCTGTCGACGCGGCAGGCTCTCCAGTGGAGACGCGCGCCGGCGTCTGACGTTCGCCACTTCAGCCATCAGCTGGTGACGGAGCCGGAGCCGGAGCCGGAGCTGGAGCCTGTCGACGCGGCAGGCTCTCCAGTGGAGACGCGCGCCGGCGTCTGACGATCGCCCGGCGCTGGAGCGCGCCGGCACCACCGGAAGTGATGATGGGCTGGGAGCTCAGAGCAGGCCACCACGCGCGATGACTCGGCGTCAAGCGCTTGTGCTGGTCTCGACATGCGCTCGCGCCGATACTTCGTGGGAGGCCGAGCTGCTGTGGAATCACTGAGGTGATGCGAGTCCACAAAGGCACGCAGTTTCGTTGACAGCCTGCACTACATTCTAATAAGAGTCCGCCCGCTGAGTCTTGCAGCTGGTTGTTCCGGAAATGACGGGGAGGGAAGGCTGTGATCCAGGTCTAAATGGTGCTACTGATGCGTGGTGTATGGTAGAAATGCATTGGGTTTGCGATATCCCCGTTTAATCGTGAGTTTTGATGAGTGAATGAATTGTCGAAATCGCCGGCGCCTTTCCGCAAAACATACGAAACTGCCGTGTGGCCCAGCCAGCTTGGCGTTCCCGTGCAATGGCAAGCACACGCCACCGGGTGAGTCTGCGGCCCGAACGAGGTCTTACTGGACTCCAGCTCCTCGCGACGCAACCCTTACCGTTTGGGCTATATCATGGGCTCTCACGGCGTGGGTGGAGTGTGAGATTGCCACGGGTCCCGGCCTGAGCGCGCCGGCCGGCAAGGGCACGGGGTCTGAATCACTCCCTCGCAGGCAGCGGAGCACCGAGGGTGACCTTTGTCACCCTCCGACCAGTCCCATCCAGAGCGTGAGTGCCGACCAGAGCGCCCGCTGGCTCCCGATATGCAGACAGACAGCGGCTACACAAACGTCTGCGCGTGTATTGACGTGACACCGAGCGTGAAACAAGCAAATGATCGCTTTCGACTGAATGGGGGCATGTTGGCGTGGGTGACGCGGGACGCGAGACACGGGCGGGCGGCTACGTCTTGCCCTGCTGCGCCTCCTTCCGGGTGGCGTCCTGCAGCAGCTGCGTGTCGATCTCGTCAGCAGGCAGCTGCACGTACCGCACCACTGAGCCGCGGATAAAGCAGTTCTTCACTGACAGCTGCCAGTAAGGATGCTGGAGTCACGCTCGGCGGCGGGGCTATTTTCTACACATATAACCATAAAGTAATATGATATATTATATATATATATATATATATATATAATATTTCTTACACGCAACGACTGGCCGGGGGGGGGGGGCTATTTTTATACATAGGCCGTGCGGGTCACGGTTCGTATCATCTGCCCCACACTGAGAGGTATCTAACCACGAAACAAAACCCAGCGAATGGTTTGGAATCAGGACTCAGTTCTCGAGCAATGACCGGCTTGCCACCTCAGGCCAACCAATGACAAGCCATCATGTCATCATGTCAACATTAATACTCGCACTGGTGGCCGCCTGGGCCAGCTCCACACTGATGAAGGGAAGAGTGTACTAGAATTTACCATTTGTGGCGAGGTGTCTGACGCAAAATGGGCATTTAGTGAAGGGCCTTCGTACCGATTTAGCGGTGCCATGCTCGCCGAACTCCGTCGAGGCGCAACACGCATTGATCATGAGTTTGAAGCGGGCATGGCGGCGAGGTCAGGTTTTCGGCGTCAAAGCTGAATCCGACGCCACGACAACGACAAAGCTACAGTCGGGGCCGAAGGCGGCGGCCTCGAAGTCCGCATCGGCGGAGCCGAACCTGAAGGTCACGGCTTCGTATTTAAACACGGAAAACCGAAGCCGAAACCAGCACCTTCAAACTTGGAGAATGCGAGGCGACGGCCAAACCCATCAGTCCAAAATCCCGAGGCCGAGGCCTACGCCGATCCTAGTGTACAACGTTGCTTTACAGAACCACGCGTTTTTGCGTCTTTTAAAGCGTTGGATCAGGCAATGCAAGGGCTTTGCGGAGTGACCGAGACAAGTGATTTTTGTGGAGCGAAGCCGGAGCCACAGTAAAAATAGCCATGACAACGCCGAATCCCGCAGTGCTAAATCGCGTGGGGTCGAGGACGGATTTAGCGTTCTAGATTGCATGGAGTTGAAGCCAAAGCCATAATGAAAAACTTGTTCAAGACTGAAGCCCAAGAGACAGGCAGCAGTTCAAAATGTCAAAGCAGAAACCGAAGACGAATCTGGGATCAGCCGTAGACAATGCCTCAAAGCCAAAGCCACATCTGAAGCCATCGGAGAAAACCTGGTTTTGCAAAGTCGGAGCCAAAACAATACAATTTTGTGAGGGTACATCAACAGTATTTAACCCAAGGTTTAACAGCTTGTTTGCATTACATGCCAATTTAGAGACACAATCCTCACCATATGCGGGTACTTGTCCTGGTCGATGACGCTGATGTCTGTGAGTTTGATATTGAGGTACTGGTCCACAGAATGCAGTGTCCCACATATGCTGGCAAAGAGAGAAACAAAGGGTGAGCATATTACCACCAATGACACCATGCCAATGTCTCACCCTAAGCTGGTGCGATGGGAGAGAGAATGACTATGCAGCATTGGGAAAGGATGTTAACTTTTGCTTAAAATGCCACAATAGCATTTAATACTCATTAAAAAGTTGTAGCCCAACATCATACCCATACTCCACACAAGCAGGTGAATTTTCCACTCTGTGTGAAGGATGATATCAGCATTGTCCCTCACATCCAGTGCTGTGGTTCATGTGTACAAATATGAAGACCTGTTAAACAAGGTGCATACTTTGCAATAGCAACACTTCAGTGCACATGTGGCAAAAACCATGGACAAGACTGCAGCAGAAGTGCCCACATGGCTGCCAGTGATGTAATCCCCTTGCTCACCTCAGGTCATTTTTCAGTTCCACCACCACATCCTTCCCCACCAGTGACTTGAAGAAGGAGTAGAACAGCTGTAATAAAATAGGGCATTAACAGTTGCACACATAGGTGTAATGCCTGTGCAACCATGTATTTTCATTATCTTTATTCCTATGCCTTATTCCACAGAGGAAACCAGGAGAATGGATATATAGTTGAGTTGATATTTGGGCAATATGCCTTTATTGAAATAATAGCAGAAGTGAATTTCAAATTTTGTTCAAAACTGGCCACAGGATGTCATGTACATGGGTGCACAATTTGCTACAGTCAAGGCAGTCAGGGACCCTACAACCACACCTCTCTACCAATCAATGTTGACAGCAGGAGACGGGAGCTTAAAGCAAAGTTGGGGGTGCAACCCTTGGCTTATGATTTCTTAAATGCCATGTTTTGGGTAAAAGACAGTGGATATGAAGTTCAGCAGTGCTGTGTATGGTATGATGGATGGGCCTATTGTTTGACCTGGCCAAGGCTATGCCAGTGCAAATACGGCTATGATTTTTTCTGGCACAAATTGTCCCATCTTGTTCTCCATATTCAAGCCCAGAAAAAGGCAGACCAAAAGTGTGGGGTGCCGGTCATGTAGTGGTTAGCACATCTGTGTTAACCACTATGTGTCTGGGAAACCAGAGGTGCCGGGTTTCATTCCATGCTGTGCCCGACCTTCCTGTCGGGGTGAGAGGCAGGCAATGCCATATAGCCTCAGTAGTTAAGTGCATTGTAAAGCCCCCATGACACAGGCACCAGAATGCCTGATGGGCTGGATCAGGCCTGCTTTGCTAGTGGTCTCAGGGGACACCCAAAAGGCTGAACCCAGCAACTGTTCTTAACCTGAACCTGGAGCCACTGCCATCCAAGAATCCACAAAAGCTTTATGACAGATATATTAACCAGGTCAGTTCCATTTTTCTAAAGTCAATAGTAAAGTTCTACATTTTCCCCAAATTGGAGGCAGCCATCCCTTTCCCTAGTCTGCATACATTAGGCCAAAAATAGGCTTGACCTTATAAACCATGAAAAAATACTTCATGCCATCACCAGCAGGCAAACATCAATCAGGGGTGGCACCTGTGATCTTGAGATGGAGAGAGGATTTCTATGAAGGGCTCCTCCACAACATGGGGCCTATCACACCTGATATCCAAGTGAATAAATGTAACCAATAAAGAAATCCCAATAGGACTCTGATCATCTTTCAAAGGACCTCACCTTTTTAAATAGAGCTTCTGTTCCAGAAAAAGGACCTCCTGATGCATAGAGAGGCCTCATTATCCAAAAGAGTATGATCATGATTTACAAAGGGCCTCCAACTCTAGCAAGTAAAGCACAAGTGTAATCTAAGCATTAAGTTTTGGGCACTTGGGGGCATTGTCACCACCAATTTCAGAGCATCATACACAAGTGTTGTAGCCTTATGATGTTGTTAATGTAAATGCAGCTAAAAATTATCCAAGGACATGTTTTAAGGCAAAAACAATTGAAGGTCTAGTGCACTTGGGTATGATCTGAGTTTGACCTATGCAAGCTAGAGGTTCAAGTGCACTGATGTTGTGCAGGCAGGATAATTTGTCACAGAATGACTTGCAATTATCTTAACAACATAATTCCCTGAAACACTGGCTATCTTTGGGCAGACAGCAGTTGCCATCATGCACACAACTCTAAATGCCAGGATTTGTGGAGTGCACACAATGAAATAGCTACTGCAATGTCACTACAACACAAACACTTAATATTGCTTTCACATCTAAACTTTCACATTTTAACTTGGTGTAAGCAACAGGCACTGATATTCTGAACAAGTGGTATGGGGCAGCTGGCACCCTGCCAGTGGATAATTCCCCTAGTCCAACAACAAACCCCCACCTTTGCAGGTCACTGCTGTTATATAATATTTTGAAGCTAATCACCACCATATCTTCACTAGGTGGACATCCCAGCGATTTCAAGCAGCTAGCAGAACAAAACAATTCGGGAGTCATTTCTGATGGATCAGTCGATAACAGGAATGCCTTCCAAACAAATCAAGTAACACATGCAAACTTACCATTTTTCCTTCCGCGCCTTTGAGGAAGTTCTTGTCTCTTGCCTGACTACACTCTTGCCTCTCTAAAGCTCAATTGCAAATTAAGTGGACAGCCCTCCAACAGCGGCAGTTTTTTTCGACAACTAACGCCGGTTACATGCCGCTCAACAACCCAGGCCATGAACACACTGGTTTCTATATTAAATCTTCACATTGCACCGAACTTGGACACCGTCGCAAACGCGCATTATTCGACTTCATCCACTTTATTATTTGTAATCTTAAATAAAACTTTTTTCACTAAAGACAAAACGTTATTTTCATAAGCACGATATGGAAAAGAGGAAAATAAGCAGGAAAAACGATCCTTTTTTGCATGTAGCAATTTATTTAACAGCTTTTTTCGCAGAAGGGTCTAAGGTCATGCTGATCGCTCACCATTCTCTCATCGATTCATCAATCTTCTGCATTGACATTATCCTATATCTATTTTGCATGAAATTCGGAGAAGCTCATTCATAAAAAGTCAGGCGCTTACCCTTAATTTGTGTCTGTACTCAATGCAATGAGGCCCAAGCCGAGTAAACCTGACCAGGTGATTTAGCACAGTAGTTTAACCTTTTTAGTTCGATTGTATGTAGTTTAGTGAATCCAGATTTATGACTGTAGTTAAGCGTCGTAGTATTTCCAGCGGAGTGTGCTGGCGGCAGAACGAGACCCCGAGCCAAACGGTGTTGGGATGACGGTTCTTTGATTACAGATTGTCATAAAGCCCAGGTGATTTTAAAGCTTCATCAGAATCTTGGCCTCTCTAATGCATGGCCTTCCTGATTTGGCGATTCGGTCACAGTTTTGTGATTCCTCATAAAACAAGATAGGTTCTGTGGTCATGCGAACTGTAATATGCCTACCCGTGTGTAAGACGGCAAAAATAAGCGTTAATCTGAACATGTACAGTGTAACAGTGAAATCGCGGCAACAAGTGCAACGCACTTATGTTACCAAACTGTGCTCAGAGTTAAGCATACAGTATTCACTAATTTGAGTGCTTTGAGAGCTAATGTGTGAGAGAATTGTGATTTGCTAGTGCAGTTGCAAGCAAACATTCTCTGAAACCTAATTTTTGAAAGCAAAAGTAAAAATGATGTCACTGATAGCACTATTTTACTTAGCATAAGTTGCATGTATGTAAGCAGGGGGCTTGGAGAGTGGATAATATCCTGTAGGTATCTGGTGTAGGAATGTACTTCTTGCTTATTTATCTATGTGCTTGACTGGTTCTATGAGAGTGCAGTTGAGGATGGAGGAGGGTGGGATGGATGCAGTTTGTTTCAGGTCCAAGATTTTGTGCAGTGCCATGGGATAAGTTTTAAATCTTAGATTTTCAGTGGAATACTCCATCCTGTCAGTGGTGCTACCCCCATCATTGTATCTTACTTTTCTGCACTGACCATACTGACACCTCTTCATTTGTACTGACCTACTGATGCCTCTTCATTTAGCACACAGAGAATTGCAAGGTGCAATGGATTTTGGAAGCCCAGAAAGTGTCAAAGATTTTCCTGGTCTTTATGGACATGAAAGAGAACCTGGTAAGTGCTGTTTGGTGTGGAAATGGTGCAAGTTGGTGTTCATCACTGTTTCTATCAGAGGGATTTTTTCTCCCATAGAAGGTTTGTGTAGGAATGTGATGCCGTAGAGTGAATCCATGAAATGCTACGCTAAAAACAATAGCTGTTGGTATAAAACAGCTTAATAGGTATATATTAGCAGGTAAAGCACTTGTTGATGTAAATAATAAGTCCACTCATTCAGTTTGTGCAGTCCACAGTGCATTAATAAAGTTTAGAAAAGCATTAGCATCCATTTAACATGGTGCAAGAGTGCTTAACATTGTAAAGCTAACCTGCCATCTATTGGTAATTTTCATAATTTCAAGCATGAAACATAAGAAACTAAGGAAGGGAGCACTGAGCTCAGGCCACATGTTTCCACAAGAAGGAATTGAATCTGTTTGGAGGGCTGTACCTCCCCATGCTCCACCCCTAATGCTCCCCCAATGCTGACTTGGTATCTCCACAAGCACATTGGCCTCAGTGTTTCCAACACTGAGCAAAGACCCAGGTGGAATCTCTAGGCTACCTGTCTTCCAAATATGTGATGTTTTTATTCTGATGTGGTAACAAATATGTGATGTTTGGCTGCCCTGCTGTAACAGTTGGGACACACCTGTTCAATCATGCCAGTCAAAATCTCATGGAACATGAGCCTGCTGATGTATTGATCAAACCTATCATTATCAGTAGCTGAAATGATCTGGTTTGATCAGCTTAGTTCATGCCATCATATACATGATGGCAAACAGCAACTCAGATATCTGGCATTGTCTTCTTGTTTTACATGACACAAGGTGTCTTATCAGCCCCAAGCATTCCATCTCAGAATGCACTGCACAGTAATTTTGTCAGAGATCATTTCATCTGTGCTTTGCTTTTAACTTCTGCAGGCTTGTTTCAAACAGTCTAAGATTCTGTGGAACCCACAACCACTGGCATTCAGATGACCCGAGCTTCCACTGCTTGTGGTACTTTGTCACCTGCGATCAGTGTTGTGTTTTTTGGGGGGGAGGAAGTTTGAAATAAGCTGGTGATATATCAGGAGCTAATAGTCAGATCAGACACATCCATACTGCACTCAATAGCCCAGGTCAACTTCACTTCAGAATTGGTGCATTGACAATGACTTCATGAATGGTGACAACATGTTGCGCACAGTGTTAATGCCACACAAATCTTTGAGAATGAATTCAGGCTTGTCTTGCATCTGTCATATTGATTGTTGAAATTTATAGCTTGAAGCAGAATAAAGAGCTTGTTTTTGTGGTTCACAATCATGCTGAGGGTAGCAATGGCCATGTTGTGGACAACGTGGTAACACGGTTATGCCTAGTCGAGTTCAGGCCACCTGACTGGACATAATTAGCCTGCTCCTCTGGTGCACATTGTGCTGAAACACGTCGGTTTGAAAATGTTCCAGTTGCTGTGCCTTAGTTATTGTGAATTGGTGAGAGAAATAAGTTTAGTTTGTTATCCGTGGTTCACGTCACATGGCATTTGACGGCGATCTAGTGTGATCTGGAGTAGTGTACCCGGATTCCTGAACCAATTGGCGAATGACATTTAGCCGAATGCTGTTACGCCGAGAATGAAAAACACGAATGTGTTTTGCTGTTACGTGAAAAAGCGGACAGCTAACCGACAAAATGTGTATTGATGACATGGCATGGGTCTCATGGACCTTGAATGTTACAGATAGTGATTCGGAGAGCCATGGGAGTAAGCAGCTGATTAGCAAGCGCAAAGACAAGAAGGAAAAGGATATTGGCTATGCCGCTCTGGGTGACAGCTCGGGAGATGAAGAAGAGGATGGAAAGTAAGACTATGCAGATCAGTTGACATCATTTTGACAACAGTAGGGCTGAAGTGATTTTCTCACTTAATAAAGGCTCTGATTTACTGTTTTGGACAACAGCCCACAAAAAGTGTAGGGCGAAAAGCAGAGTGATGTTCATTGGTTTATATTGTTTTATTGGCAGAATGGTTGGGGTAGCTCTCTGGTTTTGAAGCATTAGCTCAGTGTAAAACATGTGTGAGGGCGGCATGGCCGTGGTGAACAATGTTTAAATGCCTGTTACTGTTTGTGTGGTGCTGGTAACTGAAGTGGCTTGTGATGTTATGATGTGAGGTATTATTTCGAAGTGTACCATCTGTTATTGTAGTTTGCTAGCGTAAATGAAGTGCTAAAATTTGCTGTGACAAATTTGTAGAACATACATGTGTGCAACCTTCACTTGTCGTGAACACCAGTAAGGTCTCGAGGATTCGATCGCTAAACGATCTCGAGGATCTTACGCTGCGGGCATGCCCGATTGAGGATTTCATCAATGAAATATTTCGAGGAACTTATCCTGTGGACATGCTCGATTGTTGTGCATTGGAGACGCACTGGCTCGTCTGCAGGCGGTAGCGTATTTTCTCATGAGTCGAGCTGTTGCCATGGCTGCCCCTCGTTGATGCATGTCAGCTCCCCAAAAAGAAGAAGCCTTATCCTGCAGCATTGGGGGGGGGGGGGGGGGGGGGAAAGCGTCGAACCGTTTATTCCGAGGAATGCGACACGTAATTGTGTTTCAGGAGCCCTCTGAGAGGAAAGTTGGGAAACCCTTTTAAGTTCTCGAAGAAAGAGAAGCGTGAAAAAGAAAAGAAAGAGCAGCACAGGGAGAAGGAACAAAAAGTAAAGGAAGCGAAAGAAAAGGAGCACAAACTGAAAGATTCTAAAGAAAAACAAAAGGAGGATAAAACAAAAGAAAAAGCAAGAGAGGAAAAGGCGAAAGATAAAACGAAGGAAGAGAAGCTGAAAGAGAAGGAAAAGCAAAAAGAGGAAAAGAACAGAGAAAAGGAGAAAACCAAAGAGAAGGGAAAGGAAAAAGGAAAGGATGAGAAGATCAAAGAAAAGTATAAAGACTCTAAGGAGAAGTTGAAAGACACGAAAGAACTTAAGGATTCTTCAAAAGACTCACATGAAGAACGGAAAAAGAAGAAGAAAGATCAGAGCAAGGGAAAAGAAAGAAAAAAGTCAGATCCTGGTAAGTGAGATCACACCCAAGCCGACATAGATCTTATCCATCGGCCCTCATACCCAGTGCCTTTCCGTTTAAGGCAGGCTTGTATGACAAAATGTCCCGAAAAAGTATCTAATGCTACGACTCATGTCCGCCTGGTTAGCTCAGTTCAGGAGCTCAGTTGGGTAGAAGGCTTGCCTTCCGATTCACCCAGCCGTGACGGGATGGATTTGAGTCGCTTTAGGCACTCGCTATTTGCTCCTCCCGGGATGGTCTGCGGGCAGAAGAAGCGTACATGCCAAACGTCAGGTGACGTCAGATGGGAGGACTAACTGTACCGATCATTGTAGCACGGTAAACTTTCGCCCGCAAATTTTGCCGTTTACTCGAAATTTCGTGATTGGGTGGCAGAGTCACGGGGTCACTCAAGCAGTGCTTGGCGTGGGCGCTGGTCCTAGAAATACATCGAACCAAAAACCCAATTGACCTTAATGTTAAACACTTCCGACAGTTGAGACGTCACTTTGCATTTAACGGTTGCACTTATCGCTATGTTTGTGCACCTGCGGCCGCCCCCCCGCCCCCCCGCCCCGTGGGATCTGGTGTCACCTTTCCCCGGCGCTGGCTGAGAGGGAAGTCCGTCTGGTCTCGGTGTGACGTGCCCCGGTGGCCCGTCCCCAGTGGTGGCCGTGGAGGAGGAGCCGGTGTTCGGTGTACCGCTGGCGCTGGCGGTGGAGCGCAGCAAGTGTCACGATGGCGTACAGCTGCCGGCCATCGTCCGAGAGTGTATCGACTTCATCGAACAGAACGGTAACGGCCAGCCGGGCCCAGTGATACTCACCAGCTCCCGTGGGTGCGGAGAGGCCCCGAGTGACAGGACAATGGAGTGGTGGCGTGAGCACACACGTTATGTCCTTGGAGAGCAAAGTGGAGGCCAGCTGGGACTGCATAACGTCTCGTCCAGTTGTAAATGTTTGAGTAATTGTCACAACAGGCCGTTAATTTTATTAAAGCACGGTCTCTTGTCAGATTTCCAGATTCTCAACCTTCTTGAGCCACAGTGGCGCCTTCAAACCACGTTTTCGCGCCGATCCACGCCTATTTAAGCGCGCATCGGCTGCCTTATTTAAGCGACATTGCTGCATGGCAGTGCGTGTTCGGACGGCCGTGCTGCCACCTGTGTGCGGTGTTCCTGTCGTGGTGGGACGCGCCCTCCCACCGATGTGCGGTGTTGCGGTCGTGGTGGGACGTGCCCTCCCACCGATGTGCGATGTTACGGTCGTGGTGGGACGTGCCCTCCCACCGGTGTACGGTATTACGATCATGGTGGGACGTGCCCCCCCCCCCCACCGATGTGCTGTGTTACGGTCGTGGTAGGACGTGCCCTCCCACCGGTGTGCGGTGTTACGGTCGTGGTGGGACGTGCCCTCCCACCGATGTGCGATGTTACGGTCGTGGTGGGACGTGCCCTACCATCGGTGTGCGGTGTTACGGTCGTGGTGGGGAGTGGCCGCCCACCGGTGTGCGGTGTTCCGGTCGTGGTGGGACGTGCCCTCCCACCGGTGTGCGGTGTTACGGTCGTGGTGGGACGTGCCCGCCAGGCCTGAACTGCGAGGGCATCTACCGTCTGTCCGGGGTCAAGTCCAAGGTACAGCAGCTGAAGCGCGGCTACAACTGCCGCGACGGCCGTCTGCCTGTACGACCACGAGCCACACACGGTGGCCAGCCTGCTCAAGCTCTTCCTCAGGTACGCCCGCTCACATGTTCGCTGCCGCTGGTGACGGTGCATCAGCTGTAGCGCTGAAGGTGCTGAGGATCGGAGGACGCGCCCGATTAGTGTTGCGTTTGGCCTGTGGAGGCACCACTTGGGTGAATTGTAGTGTTGTGGAGGCCTGGCCAACGCCTTGGTAACGTGTAGGTTTGCTGCTGATACCCGGCCTCTGTGTTTGGCGTTAGAAAAGATCCTTGCTTTACATCTGTGCTGCTGCTGCTGCTGCGGACCTCATGCCACTCACTTGAGCTGACCTGACCTGACCTGACCTGAGAGGGTCTGAGTGAACCGGTAGTGTTGTGATTAAACGCACGTCTCAGAAACAGGTGGTACGGGGTTTGATGACTCGCGGTACCCGCCCTTCCCGACAGGGTGCGAGTCAACTTGTCGCCATAAACATCAGCAGCTGAGTGCGCCGTAAAGCCGCTATGACGTTACGTGACGACCCGACCTGATGTCTGACCTGACGTGTGACCTGACGCCTGACCTGACAGGGAGCTGCCGGAGCCGGTGCTGACCGCGGAGCTGCTGCCGCTGTTCGACACCGCCGCCGGCCAGAAGGACCCGGAGCGCCGAGTCAAACAGCTGAGCGTCCTGCTGGACCGGCTGCCAGCTCCCAACCGGCTGCTCGTCCAGTACATGTTCAAACACATGGAGCATATCATCAAGCGGGTGAGCTGTGACGCGGAGCCGGCGCATGGCACGTGTGTTCCTTGTTCCGTGCTGCATGAAACATAGAGTGTGGAACAACATCCGACTTGGAACACTTTGGGGCGGGGGGGGGGCAGTTGGCCTGGAAAGTTGATGTGGAATGCTATCGATGTGCCATGTGACCTGGGACAGCCACCGGCTTGCCTGGAGTACGTGACACTGAAGAGCTGACTTGAAACTCCAGATGTGGAGCACGTGTCCAGATGGCCTGACCCGGACCTGGAAGACAAGTCCGGATTTCCTGACCTGAAACACCCAATCTGACCGCCAGACCTGGAACGTTAGATATCGAACGCCTGACGAGGAGCCCTTGACCGAGACAACAGGTGCTGACGACACCCAGCCTGAAGCGTGCATGGGCCTGACTTGCTTGTCGGCAACTCTTCCGAACTGGTGCCGACTAACCCGCCTCGACCGGTCGAACCTGCGTCTCTTGTCTTAGCGTTTTACCAATGTATTTCAAATGGGATCTCTTCCTCAATTCACTTGTAGCTTTGTTCGTTTTGGCTCTTCGACGCTTCTGCGATCATTTTCTGCGTGCTCACGTGTGGGACCTGCAGAGCGCTCGGCCTGACATGGACTGTCGGCCTGCTCCACCGCTGGGGGTTGAAGCTTGTGACAGTGGCCGGCGCGTGGCTCGCCCGGGGGGCCTGTCGGCGGGCGTGGTGTGATCGGCAGGTCGCTGGCGCTGTGGCATGGCGGTAACCCAGCTGTCGTCCGCTGGTAATCGGTGGCTCCTCTTACCAATGTTGATGACGTTATCGTTTGCTTCAGGAAAAAATCAACAAGATGAACGTACAGAACGTCTCCTTGGTGCTCTCCCCGACTATGCAGATATCGCACAGGGTGTTAAACGCGTTCTTCCTGTACGGGAAGATCCTGTTCAGCGGTGTGTCGATAAAAAGGTGAGGTGGATGTTCCCGTTATAATGAGGCAGTGGCTTTGCTGACATACTCCGTCACGGCCCTCAGCTGCCTGCCTATATCACCAAGTCTATCGTCGATAAATTGTGTGACATTCCAGCACGCTGTAAAAGGATTCCTTGGTGATGTGGTCGCTGGCAACAACTATATTAAGCGTAAATGTAAAGCTATTCAAGCTATGCCCTAGTGGCACGCTTGTCAATGCAATGGAGCGAGTGCACAGGTAACTATCCTGTGCTGCGTGGTGTTTGACGGTTGATAAGACGCAAAGGTCGCTGGGAGGACCTTGCCTCTGATCTGCCCTGCCGGGTGGTGACCTCTGCCCAGTCCTGCTGGGTCGTGACCTCTGTCCTGTCCCGGGCCGTGACCCCGGTCTTGCCGACCCCGGTGACCGCGCCCCGCCGCCGACCAGGTACGTGCCACCGATCGCTGACGGCGAGCTACCCGACTCCGCCGACGCCATCCGAGAGGAGATCGAGAAGCAGGAGTCGCTGCTGGCCCAGCTGCACCGCGAACTCAAGGCCGGCAGCATCAGCCAGCGCCGCGAGGAGCAGCTCTGGGAGGCGCAGCGTATACTGACGCAGCTCAAGGTACGCGGCGTACTGACGCAGCTCAAGGTACGTGGCATACTGACGCAGCTCAAGGTACGCGGCATACTGGCGTAACTCAAGGTGCGCGCCATATTTACGCAGCTCAAGGTACGTGACGTACTGACGCAGCTCAGGGTGCAGGCATACTGACGCAGCTCAAGGTACGCGGCATACTGACGCAGCCCAAGGTGCAGGGATACTGACGCAGCTCAAGGTACGGGGCATACTGACGTAGCTCAAGGTACGCGTCATACTGGCGTAACTCAAGGTACGCGGCATACTGGCGCAGCCCGAGGTAGGCAGGCTGCTAACGCAGTTTGGGATACGCAGGATATGCACACCGAAGCGACACAAGGAACGCTTGCGAAGGCGACCCGAGTTGCGCGGCCTACGGACGCAGTCCCATTCGTGCGCAAATAACCTGTGCTGTTGACGCGTACTTAAAATCAAACGGCCACCTACTTCTGCTTCAATCCAAGTCAATTACTACTGCCTCAGAACGTATTTAGCCGGCTAACGCACTCGAAGGTTCGCCAGCTGGTGCGGCTGAAATGTTTACGTGTATCAAGGTATACCGTATACACACGCAGCTCAAGGTTTACGGTTAAGGTATGGGCGCAGGTCAAGTTACACGGTATAGGTACGGGCGCAGCTTAAGGTACACGGTATAGGGTACGGGCGCAGCTCGAGGCACACGGTATAGGTACGGGCGCAGCTCGAGGCACACGGTATAGGTGCGGGTGCAGCTCAAGGTACACGGTATAGGTGCGGGCGCAGCTCGAGGCACATGGTATAGGTGCGGGCGCAGCTCGAGGCACACGGTATAGGTGCGGGCGCAGCTCGAGGTACACGGTATATGCGGGCGCAGCTCAAGGTACACGGTATAGGTGCGGGCGCAGCTCAAGGTACATGGTATAGGTACGGGCGCAGCTCAAGGTACACGGTATAGGTGCGGGCGCAGCTCAAGGTACACGGTATAGGCGCCAGCTCAAGGTACACGGTATTGGTACGGGCGCAGCTCGAGGCACACGGTATAGGTACGGGCGCAGCTCGGGGCACACGGTAGGTACGGGCGCAGCTCAAGGTACACGGTATAGGTACGGGCGCAGCTCGAGGCACATGGTAAGGTGCGGGCGCAGCTCAAGGTACACGGTATAGGTACGGGCGCAGCTCAAGGTACACGGTATAGGTACGGGCGCAGCTCAAGGTACACGGTATAGGTACAGGCGCAGCTCGAGGCACACTGCATTCAGAAGCAACCGAAGGCACGCGACAAGCTGACGTGACTCAGGCGCGCCGCAAATAGTCCCAGCGCCGCATGGCGTGTCTGAAGGCACGCGGCGAACTGACGCGGATTAAGGTGCGCGGCATGCTGGCAGAGCTTAAGGTACAGGTACACTACGCAGCCCGATGCGTGCATATTGACGCGGCCCGGGCTGCGCAGCATACCTGCTCGGCTCAAGCTACGGGGCGTACTGGCCTGGCTTTAGTATACGGCTTTCTGATGCGGTGCAGGAAGGAGCGTACAACGGAGATGGTTCAAAGCGTGCGGCATACTGATGGGATCGATGTCTGATAATGATACAGTTCAGGGTACGCTTACGGACGCCGTGTTCCCGGCACGTGTGCTGACGCAGCTCCAGGAAAGCCCTCCACTCGATGCAGCACTCATCATTACGGATGCAATCAAGGTCATGATGTATCCTGGTGGACGCGTCGGACGTAGGTACGAAATTCAAAGCATACGTACCGATCGTCACCTAGATTACGCTTGTCTGGGTCCATGGTGCGCGAAATGGGGACGATGGGTTGTTCGGTCATGTCCGCTGTCTCATTGCGCGCTTTGGCGATCATGGAGTATGTTATAAGCCGCATACCGCATACTGCGGGCTGCTGCGTCGCCAAAATTATCCACTTTGCTGATAGACAGTGTGTTTCAAAACTGACTGGCTGACTGACAGGAGCGTACCTAGGATTTCACAATGGGTGGGAGGTCCAACGTATTTTTTTTTTTTACTGAACACTAAGTGTAGCGTGTCGCAGTCGGTCGAAATTTCTTGGTTGGCGTAAAATGGCAACGTACGCTCTCCATGTTCTTATTTTTGCGTGTCTGCCGGATATCTTAGCGTATGAACGTTTGGTAGCGTGCATGTAAATACATGCCATGACTGTCGAGCCCGGCTGTTGTGCTGAACGTGCTTCTTACCCATCAGCTGGATCGGATTTACAGGGTGATGAATACGACACGCTATGATATAGATTACATATCAGACCTTCAAAGCCTTCATCAGACCAAAATTTCGTCAAAATACCGGTTGCTTTGCTGATGGTGCTCTGGTGACTCCCAGTTCAACATCTCATGTCTGGTGGAGATATTGTGCAGTGGACATAGAGGTGTCGCATATAAACGAGGTCCCCGGTTGCTCTCGCACACTCGTCTCCACGCTTGCTTCATATCCGGCGTCGGGCAGATCTATGTCGGTAAGCAGCGCTCGTCCACCCGCCCCGGCAGAGGCGGCAGCGGTTCGTGGCCAAGCGACACGAGTCGGAGGCGTCCGGCCGGCGCGGCGACGACGAGCCGCCGCCGGCGCCGCCGCTGGAGCCGACGGCGGCCGACGGCGCCGCTGCGCACCGGCTGCAGCGCACCGTGCACATCATCAACGAGGATAACGTCACCGTCATCCAGATCGGCGAGAAGGCGGCGCCCGAGCGGGGCACGGGGGCGGCGGCCGAGCCGAGAACGGAGCTGGCGACGGAGCCGGAGCCGGAGGCGGTGACCAAGCCGAGGTCCGAGTCGGAGTCGGAGCTGGAGCCGGAGCCGGAGCCGGAGCCGCGGCCGGCGTCGCTCGCTGAGGAGCAGGCGCCGCGCTCGTCGCTGCCGCCGCCCGGTGACGAAGGCCAGGCAAGCTTCAGTGACCTGCACCGGCGGGTGGCGGCCGACCTGGCGCAGCCGGTCGAGACGCCGGCGGCCGCGGAGAAGAAGAGGGCTGACGGTGAGCGGACGGCGGCTGCAGAAGTGCGCCGGTTCGTGGGAAAGGCCGGGCTTGAGCATCTGTGTTATGGCTAACGTAGGTCGGCACAGTGTATAAATCTTTCGTGCAAAGCCAAGCCACCGAGACGCATGGCTGCAGATGCACATTTTGGCCAGTTAATTCAAGCCATCGCTCCGTCCGCTGAAAGTCGTATTGATGTCCGAATTGTTGGCCGATAGACTACAACATGACAGCCTTCGATGGGGCTGCAACATGGTGATCTCCGGTTGACAGCCACTAGGCGGCCTCCAGCGGCGCACGCATCGTGCCGTGAGAGACTCCAATGACGGCTATCTGCTCCGACAGAGTGGCCCACGCCCGACGTCTTCGCGCGGCGCGCCGGCCGGCGCGGAGCCGGACGCCACGCGGGCCGAGACGGCCGCGCTGCTGCGCGAGGCGATCCTGCTGAAGCTGGAGGAGGACGAGCTGCAGTCGACGAGCCGGGAGCTCCGCAGCCGGCTGGCGGCAGAGCGCGGCGAGATCGGGCGGCTGCGCGACACCATCCAGGAGATGGAGACCCTCTACAAGTACAGGTGGGCGGGAGGCGCAGGCTGACGTTGACGTTGACGTTGACTTTGACGAGATGCGGGTTGATGTCGTTCAGTGTTGGCAGATGTAGGCAAACTCCCTCAGGAGACATCGCAGGATGGTCGGAAATGTTGGCAGATGTAGGCAAACCCCCTCAGGAGACATCGCAGGATGGTCGGAAATGTTGGCAGATGTAGGCAAACCCCTCAGGAGACATCGCAGGATGGTCGGAAATGTTGGCAGATGTAGGCAAACCCCTCAGGAGACATCGCAGGATGGTCGGAAATGTTGGCAGATGTAGGCAAACCCCCTCAGGAGACATCGCAGGATGGTCGGAAATGTTGGCAGATGTAGGCAAACCCCCTCAGGAGACATCGCAGGATGGTCGGAAATGTTGGCAGATGTAGGCAAACTCCCTCAGGAGACATCGCAGGATGGTCGGAAATGTTGGCAGATGTAGGCAAACTCCCTCAGGAGACATCGCAGGATGGTCGGAAATGTTGGCAGATGTAGGCAAACTCCCTCAGGAGACATCGCAGGATGGTCGGAAATATGCAGCAGAAGTGCTGACTGGGGTTGACGATGGTGTGGAGTTCGTAAAGGCATGTTTGTGGTACCGAATGCTGGGTGGACGGAGTGACCGGGTGTGCCAGGAACGCCTGTTGGCTCGCAGTCACGTCGGCACCGTGCGTTCTGTTTCAGAACGTACTCTGTGGACAGCAGCGACGACCCATCTGGCGAGGACAGCGACGATAGCGACACGGAGGAGGACCTGGTGAAGCAGCTGCTGGAGATCGCCCGGCACAACCAGCAGTTGGAGGTCGGTCCGCGCCTTGGGATCTGTGGAACCACTTACGGGTACCTTTTGTCACCGAACGTCACGTGTGTTCGCTACGGATGTGAATGCGCTTGCGTGCGCCGTGGTTCTCGGCGTTACACTTTTAGGACGCGACCGGTAGCAGACACCTCAGGTCGCTACAGTTTCAGGATGCCACCGCTAGCGGATACCTCAGGTCGCTACGGCTTCAGGATGCCAGCGCTAGCGGATACCTCAGGTCGCTACGGTTTCAGGATGCCAGCGCTAGCGGATACCTCAGGTCGCTACGGTTTCAGGATGCCAGCGCTAGCGGATACCTCAGGTCGCTACGGTTTCAGGATGCCAGTGCTAGCGGATACCTCAGGTCGCTACGGTTTCAGGATGCCAGCGCTAGCGGATACCTCAGGTCGCTACGGTTTCAGGATGCCAGCGCTAGCGGATACCTCAGGTCGCTACGGTTTCAGGATGCCAGCGCTAGCGGATACCTCAGGTCGCTACGGCTTCAGGATGCCAGCGCTAGCGGATACCTCAGGTCGCTACGGCTTTCAGGATGCCAGCGCTAGCGGATACACTCAGGTCGCTACGGTTTCAGGATGCCAGCGCTAGCGGATACCTCAGTCGCTACGGTTTCAGGATGCCAGTGCTAGCGGATACCTCAGGTCGCTACGGTTTCAGGATGCCAGCGCTAGCGGATACCTCAGGTCGCTACGGTTTCAGGATGCCGGCGCTAGCGGATACCTCAGGTCGCTACGGTTTCAGGATGCCAGCGCTAGCGGATACCTCAGGTCGCTACGGTTTCAGGATGCCAGCGCTAGCGGATACCTCAGGTCGCTACGGCTTCAGGATGCCAGCGCTAGCGGATACCTCAGGTCGCTACGGTTTCAGGATGCCAGCGCTAGCGGGTGCCTCAGGTCGTCGTTACGGTGTTGGGACGCGACCGGCAGCGAGAGCCCCAGGTCGTCGCGGTTTTAGAACGCGACCGGTAGCGGGCGCCCCAGGTCGTCGCGGTTTTAGAACGCGACCGGCAGCGGGTGCCCCAAGTCGTCGCGGTTTTAGAACGCGACCGGCAGCGGGCGCCCCAGGTCGTCGCGGTTTTAGAACGCGACCGGCAGCGGGCGCCCCAGGTCGTCGCGGTTTTAGAACGCGACCGGCAGCGGGCGCCCCAGGTCGTCGCGGTTTTAGAACGCGACCGGCAGCGGGCGCCCCAGGTCGTCGCGGTTTTAGAACGCGACCGGCAGCGGGCGCCCCAGGTCGTCGCGGTTTTAGAACGCGACCGGCAGCGGGCGCCCCAGGTCGTCGCGGTTTTAGAACGCGACCGGCAGCGGGCGCCCCAGGTCGTCGCGGTTTTAGAACGCGACCGGCAGCGGGCGCCCCAGGTCGTCGCGGTTTTAGAACGCGACCGGCAGCGGGCGCCCCAGGTCGTCGCGGTTTTAGAACGCGACCGGCAGCGGGCGCCCCAGGTCGCGCGTGTCTTTGAATAGATCTCACAAAAATAAAAAGGTTTTCGAACGAAACCGGCAGCGTCCGCATGTGAAAAACTTCTGGAAATTCCGGAAATTCCTTAGCTTTTTCCAGGTTTGCCAGATCTTCTCCATCCTGGCACGAACGCTACTAGCTGATCTGTTTTTTTTTTTATTTTATTATCACAGATGGCTAAGGTCTGGCGGGCTTAAGGCTCTTTCAAGAAACTAAAAGTTTGTTGATTTGCTCTGACTACGTTAGCTTAGCATGTGGTATAGGTGCTGATTATTAACACTGTGTGCCAGCCGCGGCGCCGTGCAGTCAGTGCCCTGTTCAGTCAGTCGCGTTCAGTCGTGTCCTGTTCGCAGGCTAAGAACGCCCAGCTGGTGCGCGCCATCCACGAGGAACGGCGCTGTTGCCAGAAGCGGCGCGCCCAGATCAGGTACCTGGAGCTGCAGGCTACCGTCGGCGGCCGCGGCCCGGACTGACCCCAGGTTACGGCTGGGGTCGGCCCGGACTGACCCCAGCTCACGGCTGGGGTCGGCCCGGCCTGATCCCAGGTCACGGCTGGAGTCGGCCCAGACGGACCCCTGATCACGGCTGGAGTCGCCCCGGCCTGACCCGGCAGCGGGTCAGGTGTCCTCGACCGGGGCAGACCGGCTCGCCGGGGCAGAGTGCCGCGAGCGCATGGGCAGAGTGCCGCGAGCGTCTGGGTAAAGTGCCGCGAGTGCCGGGGCGGAGTGCCGCGTCTCGGCTGCCGCCGCCAGTCCGGCCGGCCCCGAGTCACAGACTCTGAGGCGGGCGGCCGAGGCCCGCCGGATCGGCGAGATGGGGGCGGCGCTCACGGCACGCGTCGGGCCCAGCTGTACCGTGGAGGTTTAGAGTTGTGTACTCGCGCAGCCGTGTCGACCATGTAGCGTTAGTGGAGCGCAGATATATTTGTTTATTTGTTTTTTTTTATTTTATCGCCAACAGAGTAGTACTCCAATAACAGGCGAAGTCGTTTAAATAAAACACAGTAAACACACAGCACACGGTAGTATGAACATAACGAAAGGATAACATCTCAAGGCTAAGTGAAGATGCTAGAGATTGCAACACGTTGTGTCGCCGTGTGACGTCGCTTTAGTGCGTACAAGCGTCAGATACACAGGTACGTATGCGATTCGCGACAGTGTTGTGTCGCACGTATGCTTTTCGTGGCTTGGCGGGTTCGGAGAATCCTTCCACACAACACGTAACCTGGTCGCGTTATATGCCTATATGACATGTTTCCACTGACGCGTTACATTTCGTGTTGTTTCGCCTCGGCCTGGGGCGGACGAGGTTTTCACTGCTGCGCGTGGTGTGTGACCACGGCGACATGTTTGTCCGTCTAGTCTATCCGCCAGCTCCGGTGCGGTCGGCGGGCCCGCCACCGGGCAGCGCCTGGGGGTATGAGGAGTACGCTCTCGGCGGCAGTTGTTGACGTGTACACGGTTTATATGTATGTTGGTATGGCCATATGTCGTCCTGCGTGAAGCCTCTGTCCGTTGATGCTCCCGCGGTGTGTAGGGCCTGAAGAACGTACCCTCTCGAAGGAATTGGTGGTGTGAAAATGAGCGCAACAGCGGACCCGTTCTTTAGCCTCAAGCACAGAACGAACTGATGACCATCCTTGTATGCGGTCGTTGATGGCTCAATGTTCTACATTATGCGCCCAGCTATAAGATATTGTGTTGGCATGCATATATTGACCTCAGCCCTCGAAACATCCCCCCATGTCCATTCCTTGGGGACATCAACCCTCGCCTGCACAAAACGGAGCTCGGCCAAGACGGCAGCCGCCACCATCAACTGCTTCACGGAAGTGGGCGGACAGCTGGCCCGGGCTCGGCTGACGAGCCGGCGGCGCAACCGCCCCGGCGCCGCGCCGCCGCGCCGCCCGCCATGTTGGCTCGGAAACGCGCCTGGCTCATCCGTGCGCATCATCGGGAATTGGCTCACAGCGCCGTCGCAGGACGCGAACGCGGTACCAGCTCGTGGTAGCAGGTGGCGCGCCTAACAGAGCCTCAGCCGATGACGTGTGGCGCGAATGCAGCTGACGGCAACGGCCTTTGCCGTAGTGAGAGTACAAGGGGCAGCTTGCTTGCCACTCTCACATCTCCGTCAAAACCGCCGGCTGTGCAAAGGCGTGATCAGTTTTGTGTTCATTTATGTGAGCGGAAGTCCGGAACGATGCGCCTGAAATCACATAGAGTAGAATGCGGCGGTTGTACACGATGCTGGCATGGCTCGCTGATGCACATATACACATGACGGGCGTGCTGGACGCTGGCGATGCGCTGACCCCGGCTCTGGTACTGCAGGCCACGGACAGGGATTTGAAAGCGCGCTGATTTGTGACGAACTGCGTCTCAGAGCGTTATTCAGTTAACGATTGAGTTTCAACAGCGAACTGGATTTGACAGCCGGCGTCTTTTTTTTAGCAGTTGATAATATTTGACAACTGCTTTGGTTTTAGAAGTCGGACTTGCGCTGCTTGAACTGAAACGGGTGGTGATGGCCTCCCACTAAAGTGTGGATCGATCATACTGTCAATGACTATACAATCACAAGGCGCACAATGCGTTACGAGGACAATCTCTCAGCCCTACTCAGCACAGTCGCGAACATACAAAACAAACCGCCCCTGGAGCTGACGAAACCATGTGCGTATCTACTGCCTGTGTAGAGGACCTCGACTGGCCGCTCGCACCGCAGCCCGCAGGCAAACTGGCGCGACCGACGTGTCGCCGCTCTCCAGACACGACCGCCGGAACCCGCGAGGACACGACCGCCGGAACCCGCGAGGGCGCGGCCGCGGGAGCCCGCGAGGACACGACCGCCGGAGCCCGCGAGGACACGACCGCCGGAGCCCGCGAGGGCGCGGCCGCGGGAGCCCGCGAGGACACGACCGCCGGAGCCCGCGAGGGGCGCGGCCGCGGGAGCCCGCGAGGACACGGCCGCCGGAGCCTGCGGGGACACGACCGCCGGAGCCGCGAGGGCGCGGCCGCGGGAGCCCGCGAGGACACGGCCGCCGGAGCCTGCGGGGACACGGCGTCGGAGCCCGCGAGGACACGGCCGCCGGAGCCCGCGAGGACACGGCCGCCGGAGCCTGCGGGGACACGGCTGTCGGAGCCCGCGAGGACACGGCCGCCGGAGCCCGCGAGGACACGGCCGCCGGGGCCCTCCAGGATACGGCCGTCGGAGCCCGCGAGGATACGGCCGCTGCGCCCATGTACAAAAAGTCGTGACAACCACACGGAATGGAATGCGCCGAGGCTCCAGCCCTCTTTGCCGGCCGACACCAGGTGGGAGGACAGGCGGGCCCATAGGCGGCGTCTCCGCCGGCTGACACCAGGCGCGGCTCAGGCGGCGGCCGCGCCCTGACGCTGGTTCCACTCGTGCAGCCAGCGGTGGACGTCGGCCCGGTACCGGCGCCGCCAGCGCACGTTCAGCTCAATACTCTCGATGGCCTGCTGGAGCGAACGCTCGGCGCTGCGCAGCTCTTTGCCGGCGAAGAAGGTCCGCACCTGTCGGCACGGCACAGTCTCAGGTGACGATACTGGCTTAGGGGGAGAGGGGGGGGGGGGGAGGGGAGGCTGGCGTTCTACGTGGCGACCCATCTGTTGAGTCGCTCATAATACGGTGAGCAAAACAAGCAAGTCGCCAGTCTCACTTGTGATTGCAATTTAGCAAAGCGAGGTGTCGAATCACTCCCGTTCTTGATGATGATATATATATATATATATATATATATATATATATATATATATATATATATATGTATTGGCTGATGCCAAAAATAATTCACAAAAATAAACTCCGCCGTTACACTCAAAAGACAACTCAAGACAATGCCGTAACCAAAAGTGTATTCAAGGTTTTCGAGATCATGCACCGGCAAAAGGCGTCGACTAGCTCGCTCAGGAGGACAAACAAGCGCTCCAAGGGGGCCAGTCCAGAGCCTGGCCGCTGCAGCTCGGCAGACCAGCGGTCCTCGAGTCTCGACGGGTTTCGATGGCCGCGTCGAGTGACTAACGGCCGGCCAGGCGGTCAGTACAGATGCCTGCGTGGCTGATGCGACGTGGTTGGGTCCCCCCCCCCCCCCCCCCTCTCACTTCGTCCAGCTCCAGCTGCGTGGTGAAGCGCGACACCATCTCCTGGATCACGTTGTCCATCATGAAGGTGCCGACGCCGACCTTCTGCATGATCTCTGGCCAGTGGAGCCGCACAAAGCGCCAGAGTCGCAGCCGGCCCTGCCCAAGTACATCAGACCAATCGGAGGTCACAGAGGACAGCCATGGCTGATCCTGGACACGCACAGGACATCAGCCAGAGGACAGAGCCATAGTCGGCCCTGAACACGTGCGTGGCATCAGCCAGAGGACAGAGCCATAGTCAACTCCGGACACGCATACCAGATCATTCCGTCACTACTAGGCAGGTCAGACCATGCCAGACCATTCCGTCACTATTGGCGGCCAGATTAACTGCGGTACACAGATGGCTAAAACGGCCCTCATCTAAGTAGACCGTGCTTTAAGTTGTACAATGTTAATGTCCCTGAAAGTCAAAAGAAGCATCGCGTTCCTGTTTTCATCCAAACGCATATGAAGTTATTCCATTTAAATGACACTTGGCGTAAATGGTGTACTGCGTCGCATGAATGGCCCGTCATTTGTCCCAGTGGAGTCTCGGACGCACTCATCGCCAGTCTGGACCACTTACCGCCTCGTTAGCCGCCACCGACTCGACGACGCTGGCGAAATCCTGCGTCCGCACCTTATCACCGGCCAGACTCCGGCGCAGCAGACTGCCGGGTGGACGCTGCCGTGTGACACCCACGCGGCGAGGGCGGCACACGGCCTGATACCGAGACACAACCGCGGCGAGGGCGGCACACGGCCTGACACCGAGACACAGCCGCGGCGAGGGCGGCACACGGCCTGACACCGAGACACAACCGCGGCGAGGGCGGCACACGGCCTGACACCGAGACACCCACGCGGCGAGGGCGGCACACGGCCTGACACCGAGACACAGCCGCGGCGAGGGCGGCACACGGCCTGACACCGAGACACAGCCGCGGCGAGGGCGGCACACGGCCTGACACCGAGACACAACCGTGGCGAGGGCGGCACACGGCCTGACACCGAGACACAGCCGCGGCGAGGGCGGCACACGGCCTGACACCGAGACACAGCCGCGGCGAGGGCGGCGTACGGCAGGACAGCGGGGCGCACGTGCAAAGGTACCGACTGTGCCTGTTTGGCCGCATTACCTCAATGATCGTAGCAGTGAAAGCAAACAGCCTCATGCTGCTACCCTGCACTCAGTGATAGCATACTCTGTATTTGGTAGTGAGCCCTTTCAACGTTTTTATAACAGTCACTGATAACAGCGTATGATAAAACATTGAGCACAAACTAACGTGGGTGATGAGGACAATGGTCCCAATACCTAGTCCCCACGTACAGACACCCCGTCTCCCATAATCCGTACGACCATGCTATAAAATTGAAGCATGGGTATCCTCGATCGCTTGATCGCAAAGACCCACTGCTGAGCACCAAACAGCTCATGCTGACGACACGTTTGGGAAGGCTCACAGATAGGATAAGGATAAGACAGGAGCCCAAGTGCGGTGCGCACTCGGGCTGAGTGTGACAGTGCCGGGCAGTGGCGCAGCGCCAGGCGAGGTGGAGAGCACGTACTTCTCGATGGTGAGCGGGTCCTGAGACGCGCCGAGAGCCATCAGCAGCGCCTTCTTCTCGCTCGGGGTCGAGGCGTTCAGGTAACGGCCCCACACAAACTGCCAGTCACTCTCGTTGCCGTACTCCACCCCTGCGTGGACACCCCGCGGCGTCAGACAGACACGACGGCCGACAGCTCGCCTCTCAGCAAACGCATTAGGCTGGGCGTGCATTAACTGAGGTATGTCCGCAGCTGGGAACGTATAAAATGTTTAACGACGGTCCCTCGTGTGGTCTACTGGCGGTGGGGGCTGTTGGTCCACTCCAATTGACTGACATCAGCTGGGACCAGCAGTCACTCCACCCGTGACGTGTCAGCGCGCCGGTCCGGGCCACGTGCTGGGTCCAGTCACCTGTGGCGTAAACGAGCGCCCTGAAGTCGGGCGGCACTTGCAGGCCGGCTTTCCAGTCGTTGAACAGGGTGCGCGCGCGGGCGACCGCCTCGGGCAGGCGAACCGACACGGCCCAGGCCAAGATCAGCGTCCGCTGCTGCCTGCAAACGCCCAGCGGTAACATCAGGCCCACCGGGGTCTGCCCTGAGCCGCGTTTCGTCACGGGATGGGGGTTAGACGCCCACCGTGCAACAGCCCGCAGCGGTAACATCAGGCCCACCGGGGGCTGCCCTGAGCCGCGTTTCGTCACGGGACGGGGGTTAGACGCCCACCGTGCAACAGCCTGCATAAAGCTGCAGGACCGAGGGCAGTTCTGCCATCTGCTGGCACAGCGCAGTTCAGGCGGCGATAGAATTGTAAGTGCATAAGACGCACCAATCTGTAGAACAAGCCCGGTGAGTCGCGGTTGCCATGGCCGCGGCTCGGCGCCGCCACACCGGGTCTGACCTGACCAGGTGCGAGCCCGTGTCGCTCCAGCCGAGCTCCGTGTAGCGCGGCAGCAGCAGCCGGCGCGCGAACGCCTGCAGCTGCGCGTGCGTGGTCAGGTCGAACACCAGGTGCAGCCAGTGGCGCAGGTGGCGCTCCGCCACCGACCAGGGCGCCAGGCCGCGCTCCGTCAGCAGCGAGGTGCTCAGGCGCAGCGGCACCGTGCCGTTCAGCTGCGCCGCCCTGCCGCGCACGGGCGTGGCTCAGCGGGGACGAGCGGGCCACGCCACGGCAGACACCGCCGGTGACGCGGACAGAACCACAGCAGTGGGGCCATGGCCGCGGCGCAGCAAACGGGAATACATGAATGTCACATGTACAAGGCCGGGCAGGGTTGTACCAAACATTCCATGTTTTGTATGACATCCGCGACACTGATGCTTAACTAAGCATGGCGTTCTTTTAATCAACAGACATATCAATGTCACTTGTCACTAAATGATGCGGTACTGCGTCGTCTGCAGCATAAGTTTATGCATATTTTACACTTATATCACATTTCTATCACGTATATGTATTTCACCGAAACAGCAGATGCGTAGTGCGTAATCTCGCCGCTGCGCCTGAACCACCTGCGCGACGCGCTCACCTGTTGAGGCTGAAGGCGTCGTCGATGAGCGCGCCGCGGTCCTCCACGCTGAGGTGGCCAGAGCCGTCGAGCAGCAGACCCTCCAGCGCCGCCCAGTTTTCGGCCGGGTACATCACCCGGTACACGCCCGTCTTGTTAACGTTGCAGTAGTACCAGGCTGGCTCCGACTGTACCTCCACCGAGACGGCTGAGGGCGACGCCGACACCAGTCAGCGAGAGGTACGCCCGGCCGGCCAGCAGTGGCCGAGGCGAGCACGGCAGCTGACAGCGCGGTCCCGCTCTGGTGCTGCCGGTCTGCCCTTGTTAACCATCCAATGCACGCCACGAAGAAGTTGAAGCGCGTGTTGAAGTTGAAGTTGAGGTCAAAGTTGAAGTGCGCGGTCAGTTCCTGGACATTACATGTAAACATATGCTGTATCGTACCATGAAACGCTCTGCGTATATCACATATAGCAAGAAATGCAGCGCGTCTAGAGTATCTGTAACTGCATTCAAAGTTCGCCCATAGAAACAAGAAAACGCATCTTGCAAAGCGTAATACAGATGACAGTGGATTGCGCTCTGGTGGCGGCCTAGGACCAGTGACGAATGGACTGTGTGTGGCAACATCGACATCATGACACAAACAATGCTTCCGCCCTGCTGCATCGAAGAAGGTAAGCTTGGCAACACCGACGTCATGACGCAAACAAGAGCTTCCGCCCTGTTCCGTCGAAGAAGGTAAACTTGACAACATCGACGTCATGACGCAAACAAGAGCTTCTGCCCTGTTGCGTCGAAGAAGGTAAACACGAGTTGTACCCGCACCGACTCCTACACAACAGTCCGGTGCGCCCCCCCCCCCCCCCCCCCCCCCACCTCCGTCGGTCAGTACTCACACTCGACCATGTCGAGCCGGACGGACAGGACGCCGTCGAGGCGGTGGAGGCGGCAGCGGACCGGCACGTGCCAGCGAGTCGGCGCCGCGCCGGCCGACTCCGAGCCGTTGGAGAGCATCACGAACGGCGTTTGGCGCAGGGTCAGCCGGCCGTCCTCTAGCCGGGCCTGTATCAGCGGGTAGCCCTTCTGCAGCGTCCACGAGTCCATCATGGCCTGCCGGGGCGGGTGGCAGCCCCTGTCATGGTCTGCCGAGGCGGTGAAGTCTGTCATAGTCTGCCGGTGCAGCAGGGTCTGTCATGGTCTGACGAGGCGGTGAAGTCAGTCATAGTCTGCCGGTGCGGCGGCCCCTGTCATGGTCTGCCGGGGCGGCGAAGTCTGTCATAGTCTGCCGGTGCGGCAGGGTCTGTCATGGCCCGCCATGGGTTGCCGGGGCGGAAGGGTCCGTAATGGTCTGAGACGGGGCAGAGAGTTTGGGGTCTGAGGCGGGAGGGTCTTTAAAGGTTCGCCGGGCAAGAGGGTCTGTCATGACCTAACGGGTCTATGGCGGTTGTCCTGCACCAGTTAACAGTGTGGTTGTGACAAGATACTTTCCTGCAACTGAGAACGCAATGGTGACGATGCATTCCATCGACATCAGCAACGCCACTTGTTTCCCAGATCGCGTGGGCAGCACATATGTTCGCAGCAGTAATTTGTCAGTTATGACATTTATTTGTACACACGGAATAATAAAACATAAGCCTAGAGTGACAGCAATAGTCACCGGCACATTCAGCGCACCATTTAGCGAATAGTGCCGCGCTGGAAACACGGAACATCGCCTCAAGTCATTCAAAATTATTGATGTAAGGCTATCGTGGTGAGAAAACACGACAAACTGCTTACATAACACATCATCCTTGAACCGCCAACGAAGGAGCTGAAGGACCAGGCAATTTTAAAACTAGCGCCTGCATGCGGCACCGCCCAGCACACCGGCGCACGCTCGTCGCTCCAGCTGGATCGAGCCGGCCCCAGACCGGCCTGAAACGCCGTGCCGTACCTTGATGTCAGTGACCTGGCTTCCGGCGGCCGGGTCAGAGGGGCTGATCTCCTGGCTGGCCTCCTGGATGGCCGCCCATAGGTCATCGGTCCGCGTGTTTCCGAACATGTGCCGGTTCAGGTAGCGGTGCAGGCCCGCCTTGAACACCGTCTGGCCGATCTCCTTCATCAGCATGTAGAGGAGCGCGGCGCCCTGGGCATGCCACACGGGGGGGGGGGGGCTGTGACGGCATCTGATGCCGGTGGGGACGTGTGTCGGATGCCGCTCTTTGCCTTGAGGTAGTGCACTGATGCGAACTTTATAGACCTGCCCACCCGGCAAGTTATTTCTGTGTTTTTACACTTGTAAGGTGAGCGTTTGTTGCGACTCGCATGCTATATAATTACTTATGCATACTAAAGCATCACAACTGCACACAGCTCATGGCTAGGTTGTAGATGATCTAATTTAGTCGAAGGCGTGTTATTATCAGCTGCGAGAGCTTTGAAAACGAAACGATTCCATCAATATCGATATCATTTGTCCCTTGAGTTTAATGATCTGGAACACCGGAAGAACCTTATCAGTGACATCCATGTAGGCATGTTTCACAAACGATTTTGTGCCTGTGTCTTGTGGAGCCTGCTGTATCTGACCTTGCTGTACGAGATGACATCGAAGATGGACTCGATCTCTTCGGGGTCGGTGACCGGCACTGAGATGGGGTGCGAGTTCCGCAGACTATCCAGCGTCAACGCGGTTAGGGTCGTCTTCAGGATAAACTGTCGTGAAAAAGTGCACAACCACTGACGTCACTTCCGTAGTGGGGATTTCATGGCACGCAAATGCCTCCCAACCTTGGATGGCGTAAGGAGACAACTCTTGCCAAGCACACAACCAGAATCACAAAATACCTCGAGACAGTTCTCATAGCACCGACCTGTGCCTCGACTCGTGTAGGACGAGCGACGCTGAACAACAACTACAGCGCCACACCGCTACCAACCAGTTGTGAATGGTGATCGCGCCTCCCATGCGTTTATCGCGTCAAAATACGTACTGTGACGTACATTATTTCAGTATAGTCTTTACTCTGAAGGTAGTCGGGCGTAAAATAAGCAGCATTTTGATTACGAAAATATAAAAAGTCGCGGAATGTCTTTCCGGTCCATATGACCTATACTCTTTTGCCCACAATGGGTTGTTTGCTCGAGATATATCTGCAAAGTTCGTTTTATTTGTTAACTGGTGCGCCGGCAGACGGCAGACACTGACCTGACCTGACCTATCCTGACCTAGCTTGGCCTGGCCTGACCTGACCTGACCTGACACTGACCTGCTGCGACATGTGGAAGTCGGGCTTGGCGTTCCCCGCGCCGATGTACTCCATCAGCGTGGCGAATCCCTCGTTCAGCCACAGGTCGTTCCACCACTCCATGGTCACCAGATTACCGAACCACTGCGGTGCACGTGAGCAGCTCGGTTGTCAAGCCAAAACAGCGTGGGGTACACTGGCGCCTTCTGTCGGCCGCGTTTGAGAGCTGGCAGTCATAGTGTAACATTTTAGAACGCGTGAATGATTCAGCCATTCTGAGTACTGAGCCTCTGATCGACATGATTCCGAGTATCGCAAGGCTTAATGTTTCGAACGTCGTGTTCATAAGTTTCAGATGAAAGATATCAAACCAGAAACACAAATATCATGTAACCATAATCTTCCCAAAGTACGAAACATTGATAGTGGAGTAAAGCGGCAGCACATAGCTGATAACCTTGAAGGGCCCACTGTAACCATCGGACGTGGAGTCATCCCGAGCCATATGGGCGGCCCCCCCCCCCCCCTCTGATTTGACCGATGCCCACCCTGTGATCTGACCGACCAGCCACGGACCACTACGTCACCCAGCGTGCCAGACCCGGGCCACCAGCGGCCTGAACCAGCTCGCGGTCCACCCTCTCAGGTGATGAGCCAGCTCGCAGCCCACCCTCTCAGGTGATGGGCCAGCTCTCACCCAACCCTCAGCTCGCGGTTCACATCTCACCTGATGCACCACCTCGGGGTTCATATCTCACCTGATGCACCAGCTCGCGGTTCACGTTTCACCTGATGCGCCAGCTCGCGGTTCACATCTCACCTGATGTGCCAGCTCGGGGTTCACATCTCGCCTGATGCGCCAGCTCGGGGTTCACATCTCACCTGATGCGCCAGCTCGGGGTTCACACCTCGCCTGATGCGCCAGCTCGCGGTTCACGTCTCACCTGATGTGCCAGCTCGGGGTTCACGTCTCACCTGATGTGCCAGCTCGGGATTCACACCTCGCCTGATGCGCCAGCTCGCGGTTCACGTCTCACCTGATGTGCCAGCTCGGGGTTCACACCTCGCCTGATGCGCCAGCTCGCGGTTCACGTCTCACCTGATGTGCCAGCTCGGGGTTCACACCTCGCCTGATGCGCCAGCTCGCGGTTCACGTCTCACCTGATGCGCCAGTTCGCGGTTCACGTCTCACCTGATGTGCCAGCTCGTGGGCCACCACGACCGTGACCCACTCCTTGAGGGCGCTGCTGCTCTGGGTCGAGTCGTACAGCAGGCTGGTATCGCGAAACGTGACCAGACCCCAGTTCTCCATGGCGCCGCCTCCGAAGTCAGGCACGGCAACCAGGTCTACGGCCCGCCGGGCACGCCCGGTCAGCGTCTGACCTCGGGTCAGGCCACAGCCACCCAGAGGCACACACTGAGACTCTACGGCCCGCCGGGCACGCCCGGTCAGCGTCTGACCTCGGGTCAGGCTGCAGTCACCCGGAGCCACACACTGGGACTCCACGCACCTGAACAATCATGCACGATCAGAACCTCGCGCTTCTGCACATGCTAGCTGCTTCCTTCCAGAGATCAGGTGTTCAAGTTTGGCATAATTATTTGCATGTAGTTGTTACAGATAGCTCGAGTCAAAACTCGCCAGCATTCCAAACATCTGCCAATGGCCGGAGCTTCATAAAGCAATTGTTGGTGTGCCAACGATCGCGTTTTCCGGAAGTGGGTCTTTGCTGTTGTATTGTTACGGCGATTTTTGTGATGTTGGCAAAACCTGAGGGACCGAGCAAATCAACTGAGCGTGAGAACTCCACAAAAGGCTCTAAATCCACCAACGCTGACCCACCGATCTTGGGCAGCTGGAATGGTATGCCGAAGTAGTCGCCGTAGAAGTTGAGGCAGCTGACGGCCACCTCGCGTGCAAACTGTCCCTGCTGGACCAGGTGAGGCGGCGCCCACACCGACACCACCACGTCTGTCGGCACCGACGCGGTCCGTGGTGGCGGTCAGGTCAACACGAGACGCGCGGCGCGCGGCGCAGGCGCGGCACGCGGCGCAGGCACGGCACGCGGCACGCGGCGCAGGCACGAACGCTCAGCTTGAGCTACTCATAGTTTTGCAATGTGACATGAACTGCGGATCGCATCAGGACCACGGGCTACGAGATGGTCCAGTTCAGGACAGACATAAGGCTGGTCTATCAGCGTTAGTTTCACATGAGATCAAATATTAACGTGAAAAGTCTCCTTTCGATGTCACGACCCAGATGAGTTACGCAAAACAGTGCGTTCTGATGAGCGCTGAGCGCCGCCATGAAAGAGCTCACCGTTGTCGGCCGTGGCCGATATGTGGGTGTAGTCGCTGACAATGAAGGCCACCAGGTAGGTGGACATGCGCACCGACGGATAAAAGTCGTCCCTTTTCTGCAATGGTTGAACACGACAGGAGTGCACCGGAATAATACACTGCATGTTATGCGGTCCATATGCCGAATGCTTTTCTTCTGGAATGGGGAGGGAATATCCCCACCTCAAAGCACACGAAGGGATGGAAGCTATCCCGTGAAATGTTTGGGTACGATCAGCCTTGCTTTAAAAATGAATGGTGGCCTTGAACATTCGGAGGAATGTTTGTACTTTGTCGCGGATGACCCACGTTTAAGCTTGGTAAATACAACAGTAGACATATATTGACGAGGTGTTCCATTTAAGTCATACGCTTCAGTTTTTGAAGTGATGGTTATGAATGATTTTCTGGTACTGAGAAAGCCTACATGATAGAGTGAGGGCTCCTCCACCAAAGCGCGCAATGGTTATACAGCCATAGCCACACGCAGTCATGGTTCATGTAGACCAGCAAAGAGCTCCGACGACATTGACCGCATACACAAACGGCACTGACGCTCACAAGCTTCGGCAGCAAGCAGGGGACGGTTCACCCAGACACCAGCCCGTCAAAGCCGCATGAAGACTCCATGAATCGTGCACGGCTCTGGCGAGATAAGGGCTCCACACGCTTACGGACGGCAAACCTGCTAACCATCGCCATGTGGCATGCTTTTGAGTCCGTCTGACTTCAGCTGATTTCTACGGTGTTGAAGTCGGTGCCCAACTATAACACCGATGTCGTCCTCGTCTCTCCCCCAGGTGCCGGCGCAATATAACACCGATGTCGTCCTCGTCTCTCCCCCAGGTGCCGGCGCAATATAACACCGATGTCGTCCTCGTCTCTCCCCCAGGTGCCGGCGCAATATAACACCGATGTCGTCCTCGTCTCTCCCCCAGGTGCCGGCGCAATATAACACCGATGTCGTCCTCGTCTCTCCCCCAGGCGCCGGCGCAGTGTCGTCCTCGTCTCTCCCCCAGGTGCCGGCGCAGTGTCGTCCTCGTCTCTCCCCAGGCGCCGGCGCAGTGTCGTCCTCGTCTCTCCCCAGGCGCCGGCGCAGTGTCGTCCTCGTCTCTCCCCCAGGCGCCGGAGCAATATAACACCGATGTCGTCCTCGTCTCTCCCCAGGCGCCGGCGCAGTGTCGTCCTCGTCTCTCCCCAGGCGCCGGCGCAGTGTCGTCCTCGTCTCTCCCCCAGGCGCCGGCGCAGTGTCGTCCTCGTCTCTCCCCAGGCGCCGGCGCAGTGCGAGGGCACGACGACGCTGACGAGTGCCGTAGCTCTCTCCTGTGGAAGTCCAGACCGCTCTGCCGGCCAACGCTTGACTCACTATGCCCGCGCCCAGGTAGAAGCCGAGGTCCTCCGTGTGCCGAAGGGGTGTGTTGAAGAGGGCAGTGTGCTCCTGGTGGCGCACCATCGACAGCCGGAAGCTGGCCTTGAGCTGCGGCTCGTCCAGGCACGGGAACGCGGCACGCGCCGCGTTCGGCTCGAACTGCGTGGTCGCCAGATATCTGCCGAACGGAACGCTCTGGGCTCGCTTAGAGGGTGACGTTACGGGTCGAGTCATGTCGCGCCCCGGCAGGTCACATGACGCCACCGTGTCGCCGGCGTATCCGGCGAGCGAACGGCGCCGTGCAGACAGATTCAGCAACTACGGAGCTAGGGCAGGAGTAGATCCCACAGACGCTGACCGCACAGACAGGCAGCACATCTCACAGACATCACTGGCCCCGGCCACGTACTCTGCCGTTATGGCAGTGCAGTGAAGCATTAGAATATTTCATATATTCTGACTGAACAGGCTTTTCACTGCATGATGAACGGAATTTAGACGCCGAGGCGGATTATTTGCGCAAAAAGCCGGGAATGCACTATCATTTTGTCAAAAGCGATAACATTTACCAGCTTACCTTTTGGCACCACTGGGAGTGACGTAGTGGCTGAGATAAAACCCTTCCAAGGTCTCCTTCAACGTATAGGAAAATTTCAAGAAAAGAGAGTAGTTCTGCCCTTGGACGAGAGGCTCATTGACTTCCAGGTACATCTGGAAAAAGATGAATTGTGTTTATGTTAAAAGCATAAAACGGTACTCATTCATTACGATGGGGTAAAGAGCTGCCAATTTCCGTAAATGATCCACCGAATATCACGCGGACAGCGGGATACCTGTCACAACGCCGCTGCATGCCATTAACATTCACCTGGCGGCGTTCATTTGGGTTCTATAGTGCCGGCTGCCACCAGCCTGCTTCGTGTTCCATTCAGGGTCGCTGGTGCGTGGGTCACCGCAGCCCCACGCCACGTCAGCTGACCTTCAACCGCCCGTGGCGTGTGACGACCGCCGACTTTCATGGCGTCACCGCTGGCAGCTGAAGGCGGGGGGGATGATACCGCAGCATACCTAGTGGTGCCGCGCGTACCTGGTGGTACCGCAGCGTGCCCGGTGGTACCGCGGCGTACCCGGTGGTACAGCGGCGTACCCGGTGGTACTGCGGCGTACCTAGTGTTACCGCGACGTACTTGGTGTTGACGCCACCGCTGAATACATGGTGATGGCGACACAGCGGCCTACCTGGTGGTAGTGAAGCCGTGGCATACCTGGTGGCGATAATGCCGCCGCGTACCTGGTGTTATCGCATCCGCCACGTACGTGGTGATGCCGTGGTCGCCCTGAAGGCGGCGGCTGGGTCGCTTTGACGTACCTGGTGGTGGTGTGGTCGCTCTGGAGGCGGCGGTTGTGTCGCCTTTACGTGCCAGGTGGTGGTGTGGTCGCTCTGAAGGCGGTGGTTGTGCCGCCTTGACGTACCTGGTCTCTCCGGGGATACAGCAGCAGCTTAGACAGGGATATGTTGGCCGAGTCGTCCACCTTGCGGAGGGATTTCTCCGTGATTGACATGTTGCGGGAGTGAAGGACGATGAAGCTTGTTTCCTTGACGGCCGTGAAATCTATGTGGACCAGACCTGAGACGCGGGGAAGAGGGGCCAACAGGTGAGGTTTGGATGGTACAGTGCTGGGTTGTTATTAACACAATACAGCGAGCACGAACCTTAAATGACTGCGGGGAGTGTTGCGTAGCAAGGCTTGAACTTAATCATCCTATTTTATCGTAAGGAGGTACTTGTGTTTTGAGATAGCTAGTTTCTGAGCCAAAGCCATTTACAGCTGTATGGAACTAAGATGACACCGAAGTCCGAGACCACAACAATCTTAATGCCTCATCACGATATGTATCTGGGTCTTCCAATTTGTCAGCGACTGGATCAAATATGAAAATATGAAAAGATCTGGCGGACATCTAGGTGCGCTTGAAGATCTCTGGCTGGAAAATTGCACAATCGGAACAAAACAAAAATGCCGCGCACCATGTGTGAGGCTCTCAAAAGGCATGCTGGCACGTCCCATAGGTGAAGAAACGGTGGAGCGCGAGAGGATCACGCCCTCTCCCATAAGCCTCAGCGCAGAGGCCAATACTGCACATATCGCCCATCTTGCTCGCCTAGGTTTCGAGAACCTGCATCAACATACCTGGCGATAAATTACAAAACAGTGACATCCATGGATACACGTTTGGTGTTTCTGTGTTCGCCAGCATGGTGAAATGGATTATATTATATTATTCTCGCTTCCACCCAACATGTTTCAAGCTGGCAGGTTGACCCTCGGGGGAGGGGTTCCTCCAGACTCCGATGCCTCGGATTGCGATGCGCCGCCGACCGGCAGCGCTGAGCAGAAGCGGCGCGGATTAGCCCTATGAGTGGACAGTTTTACAGCGGGGCCCTCTGAAGAACAATTAAGCGCTGCCGCAATAAAGCCCGGCGAACAGGGACGCACCACCTATATAGCCTCCCGCGGTAAGGAGCTCTCTCGGTCCCGTGGTGAGGTCTCTCGGTCCCGTGGTGAGGTCTCTCGGTCACGCAGTGAGGAGGTCTCTCGGTCCCGAGGTGAGGAGGTCTCTCAGTCCCGTGGTGAGGTCTCTCGGTCCCGTGGTGAGGTCTCTCGGTCCCGTGGTGAGTCTCTCGGTCCCGTGGTGAGGTCTCTCGGTCCCGTGGTGAGGTCTCTCGGTCCCGTGGTAAGGTCTCTTGGTCCCGCGATGCGGAGACCTCTCGGTCCCGTGGTGCGGAGGTCTCTCGGTCCCGAGGTGAGGAGGCCTCTCGGTCCCACGGTGCGGAGGCCTCTCGGCCCAGTACAACGTCACATGAGCACGCAGCAGGCAGGCTGGCCTCGTGAGGTACTCGATCTCCTGATTGGTTACACGCGTGTGGCTGGACTTGAATTTCGCCGTGAATGTATTTCTGTACTGTTTACAAGACATCACATTTCAACAAGACTTAGGTCCATCTCTGACTTGTTGTTCGTCGCACCTGGCTTAGGTGTTGACTGATTCTGCTTCCTAAATGTACCAACTTAATTCCCTGAGCTAAAAATCCCATTCTGAAAAGATCTGGGAAAGCCTTTCGAATTTGCGGCAAACTATGCGCCGCTAACGATCAGCAGCTGCTTTTCTAACGTCTCGGGATTGCCAGTGCCGACGATAGAGGGAAACTGGTCGGCATTGTAACCAGAGCATTTTGGCCTGAGGTGACCCTTAGAGTTGCCAGGTAAGCGGTACAAACAAAGCTCATGGATATTGGACTCAAGAGGGATACGTTTCAGCGTACCTTGGTAGGACCATCAATGCGAAGAGGCGACGGAAAAGGGCCTCAAATGTGAAGAGGCGGTCGAAGACCGGCGGTTCTCACTACGTGTCCAATGTCGCCATCTAGTCAAAATTGAATCATGGCTGTCAGTGGCAATGCCAACCATGACAATGGTTTCATGAAAGCCTTATGTTACCCCATTGTGGCGCATGGAAAGAGGTAATTAGGAAATGGGTTACTCCCGCCCCCCCCCCCCCCCCCCCCCACCATCGCCACCCCTGCACACACACACACACATTTTAGGACGCCCCTTAATCTTGACCGGTCCGGTTCTTAAGCCCTGAGCCTCTACAAGTCTTTATACACAGCCTGGATCCGGACCGCTCGTTAATCATCCCGCACCTGACCCCTGTACCTGAACCTAGCGCCCCGATCCAGAGCGAGTCCCGGTGACAGACACCGGCGCCGACGCTGCCGTCGTGTTCCAGCCATGTCCGCCGGTGCCGCGCCGGAGCGCCACGTGTCGCACAGCGCGCCTGGCGACGACTCACCGACCACGCCACGTGTCGTGAGGTTCGGGTGCAGCAGCAGCCTGTAGTCGTACGGCGCCACCGTGTCCGGAAGGCGCACGCTGTCCCAGGGGAACCGCTCGCCGTCCGGCGTGGTTGGCGGTGTGACCACGGGCGGCGCTACTGTCGTGGGGGCCGATCACCCCAGCACCAGGCAAACAGGCTGGGGACGCACGTGGCACGCAACTCGGGTGATACCACTCAGCGAGTGAACTAGCTTCGGACACTTCCAAGAGCTAAAAGGAGGCGCGGGTGGCAAAAACGGCATGCATGTGATTTGTCGGAAACGCCGCCGCACACTGTCCGGTAAATCTAAGAATAAGATCAGGCAAGCGGCTACGGACATTCGTTGGTTGCCTGCATTGACCCAATATGGACAGAGCTGAGCCACTTAACACGAGCAGAGCATCTATGGATATATGCAATCAAATTATACCCACGTTTGAACACCAATGGCCCCTTTGTGTCCTAACTTATCCCAGCGCAGTGAGTCATAAGCCCGTCTTGAAGATTCTTCAGCGATATGCTCATTGGAGCGAACATAACGCTGAAAGAATGCGCATAAGCCTACAGGCAAAGTCGGAACAGTTGCGCCAGCTGGATGTGCACGGCTACCTAACAACATGAGCTGCCGCAATATGTAGAGACTGGGGGCATGGCGGTGCCAGCAGGGCTGCTCCCACACTCCTAGGTCTCCACTTACGAGCAAGTGTCGTGCCAAACAGGATGCCCGCACCCATCCCACCTGTCCTAGTGTCACAGTGGAGCCTATGGGTTCATTCAGCGCTATCGACCAGAACCCGGCTCTGCGCCATTTGCTTCAGCATTCATCGACCTATGCGCGTACTGAAACAAAGAGCGGGCTGAGGGTGGGGGTGGGGGTTGGGAGAGCTGACCTGGCCTGGCAAAGGAGGCGATGAGCGCGATCGCCAGGATGCTGACGAATACCAGACACATGATGCAGATGGCCTTCTTCTGGGAGCAGACGATCACGTTCTTGCCCTCGTACTCCTCCTTGTTGTACGGCGCCCTCTCGCCTGCGGACCGACACGGATGGACCAAATCATCAGCACGATCTTGCTCGGGCGGCGGTGGACAGTTACAACGCCTGTCATCTTACATATAACTCAAGTAAGAGGGATTGGGGGGAGAGGAAGGGGTTCATTGTTGCACTTCAGATCATAATAAATAGGGATAAGAAGGCGACAAAGGTGAAATAACGCTGGCCTGTAAAATTGGGGATGTCCGCTCAGACATACCGATCAATTAAGCAGTGTTGCAATATTCGGGCAAACCGTGAATGAATGACAGAACTGATGATTGTCGAGCTGAATTGACAACAGCGGTGAATGATACGGCCGTGACGCGGGCACCTCATACAGTATGCTTCCGCTGCAGATGGCGGGCGACATTGTGAGCTTTCCCCGCCACCTCATTTGTGCTGGTCGGGAGTGCTCCATCTTATCTGAGCCGGTGCGAGTGGCCCTCCGAAAGAGTTGCGCCATTCCCGCGGGCTAGTTTCATCACAGTCGACACGTTCATATTGTGATTCGCTCCGAATACACGCTGGAGTCGTCACCGCCGCTGTGCGCGTGGCGACCGGCACGAGCGCGGAGAGCCCTCCGCTCCGCGCCCTCCTCTCGCCCCCAAACACACGACCGAGCAACGCGCAGCGCGACGTCAGTCCGCGCCGCCACCGACCGGTGAGGAAGGCGACGTCGTCCACGTCGTGCATGTTGTCGGCGTGGCTGGCGCGCCGGCCGCGACTGAAGAGCACCGCGTTCCGCCTTCCAGGCGCCGGCCCCGCCCGCGCCGCGCGCCTCCAGGCCGCCGGGCACCGCTATGATGGCAGCGGCGCGCCGCCCCTGCACCGGGCGGCGCCTTCACCGACTGGGAGCGAGCGGGGCCTGCGCGGCTGCTGCTGCTGCCCGATCGATCAGTGGGCAGGGGCGGGCGCGGGCCGCCGGTGGCCGGGGCTGACCCGCCGCTGTCATCGCAGCACACCGCCGGCCACCAAAGGTCAACCGCCGGCCGGGTCAGGCGCAGCCCCTGCGACGTCGACGCCTGACCCCGGTAGCCCAGCTGGCGCACACCAGCGCCTCGCTGGTGCGCTGTGACAGCAGACCAGCGATGACGGCGCGCCAAATGTTCTCAGAGGAAGTGGCGGCCGGGCGAGCACGCCCCTGCCTTATCCGGTATCCAACACGCTGGGTGCCGGCGCTGGACAGCCAGGCGGGCGGCGACGCTGGTGGCTGGCCTTGTCCTGGTGTCTTACCCCACAGTGTACCATACAAAGCCATCCGGTGAAAAGTCCGTTCCTCCAGCCTGAGTGTGCATCTAGTTCATTCACGAAGCGGCTGATGCACGTCCGCATTGGCGGAATGGGTGCCATTGACCTAGTACGTGACCCGGCCATACTGCCATCAACGCATTAAATCAGGTCCTGTGCGCACTGCTGAGCATGGAAGCGTAAGATCTGAATCCCAGAGGAATTCAATGGTTTTTTGTTGTTGAGGAATTCAATGAATTTCCCAAGTCATTCCATACATTTCCCTTTCAGTAGTAATGCTTACAGGCTGGTGGGTATAACTGGAAGCATGCATCTCGTTGAAGAACATGCCTCGCTGCCAAGGCGTTTAATGGGTCGACAAGACAAGCGAATAATAAATTATCACATACTATATTTACATAGTTGTACAACTCACATAACTGAAAATGCATTCAGCAGAAGCCTTAAATTCTCACTCTCCCATAGCAAGTGCAACGCGACGAACGAACCCTCCAGGTCAACGAAGCGGGCCTCAGGCCCCTCACCTGGACGGACGTCAAATGGCGTGTTGTTCCACGATATGCTGCTTGTGTGGTACCTGTCAGCCAGTAAGCACTAAGACTGAGCATAAGAGAAATGTCCGGAGCGACTGGGACAATTTTTTAAAATTCCCTAGGATTCCGATTTTCCACTTTCATTTTTGGCAGGGTGCACAAGAGCTGATTTATGAGCCCCAGACCCCCCCCCCCCCCCCCGCTGGACTAAAACCGTCCGCCTCTGCACCGCGCAGCTGAGCATTATTTATATATAGCGTTGGCATGTGAAAATGCAGCTCAAAATCTAATTAAGTAGCCATGGCAGGCATAATGGAGGCAGTATTTCCACTATTGATGTCTCATTGTGGCAATAATTTTTTAGACCCAATGCACCTGTTGAATAATGTGACTAACCTATGGGTACGAGCTGAAGAATTAAGAGTTCAGTGTCATGATTCGGTGACACTCGATTACGAGTAAACTATTTTTCAGCCCGACAACGGAACCGGAGTTGACTGGAGCTGTGACGAGCAAACATAATTGATGTACAACGTTTATAAATGCTTCCAAATACAAGGCAAGCGTGCAGTTTACCTGTATAAACGTCTGAAATGTATAAATATCGATTTACCAACTATTCAGTACTTATGCTTCACACACCAGTGTGCGGGGCTTCAGAGACGCTCTGTGATCGAGACAGCAACATTGCACGTCTGTCACTTGGTCACTCCTTTCGAGGTCCCCAATTATGTCAGGTTTCCGAAACACGTGCTGAAACCTTAACAATTATAGTGTTACGGTCAGTTTGAACGATAATATAAATGTTTAAAACCGATTGAATTGCTAAGCTGATGAACCTGCCAGTCCTACAGGCTTCCAAAATAATGATATTTTCGGCCAAATAAGGCTTGACCGGTAGAAGTTTGTAATAAAGTCAGGACTTACAGGATACACAAACTATATCCAGGGATCATGGGCGAATAAGATCCGTTCTAAAATGATAATAGTGTGACTCATTTCCCATGTAATTTACGCACTATTACAATTCAGTCTAAAACCACCCAACGAAAATATAGTGTAGTCATCAATGCAGTTATATTTGCGATCCTGTTAAGATGTGGCGAGGCGGAGCTAAAGAAAGGATCCGATGCGTTTACCACACCTTCTGGTACATGGATGTTGAAGTACGATCCAAGGGCGGGGGGTAGATGTGCGTTTGCATTCTATGACAGCACGGGGTCTGAAAAACTATGTCGTATTTTTTCATAGTGCTCCCTCAGCCCGCCAGTTTGTATCTTCACCTGCTGGAGCATGCCTCCCACATCGGGCTGGGCGAAAATCTTGAAATATTTACGTGCGTGCGTGTATTTTGATACCAAAATTGGCCCGAAAATCTAAAGCCAACCAAACTTCATACCTGGTCACTCTCCGCGATACATTTGTTCGTGCAAAAATGTACAGTGAAAGCTGTTTTCATAACGATCCCAGTCCGAAAATGGATGTGTATCCATAATATTTTGCATTCGGTCCATGTTACAAGTGATTACAAATTCATGTTTAGTTTTAAAGTAATGGGAATCCGTGGCTTTAATCGTCCTGCAATAGAACCCTCAGCACCCTCCGGACGGAAAAGTCCAGCCATATATTTTGTGGAGAAGAATACACGAATGCCGATAGTAAGGGACACTTAAACTTCATTTCTTTAACCTGTATTTTGTAATCACAGGAACAAGGCTGCATCAGTTGCAATGCCACCGCAGCAACGATGCCTGACGATACAGAATGTGCATAGAAAAAATCCCATCCCGAAATTGTCTGAAGAAACTTATGGTGGCGGTCTTGGTTGTGAAAGTTAAATACATCAAGCGCCATGTTTATGGCCATGTTTTTACACCAGGTTTGGATGGGCATTTAATAAACAGAAGAGCTACGATGCCAACAAAGACCATGGTACCAACAAACTACATCTGCCATTCTATGACAACCATAACTCTCGTCTGATTGCTACTGTTCATTGTTAGTTATAGTTAGCTGTTTATACTGGATCATTTCGTTTTCATTAAAGTTTTATTACAAGATCTCACTTGTGGTTTTACAACTCAATGAATTTCTACAATGAGACGAGCGAGATCTTCTAGACGAGTTTTCAACACAACAACAAATGCAAAACAAACGCATATATGGGCAATTGCTCAATAATGGCTGCGGCTACGGGGCGTCACGCTCTGACGTAAGAACTGCGCCTCGATGCTAACACGCCAGTAACACACGGCGGCTACGGCCCCGCTCGGGCAGCTGCTGACGGCAGCATCGCGATACTGGGCCTCAATGCTGACACGTCAATAACACACAGCGGCTGCGGCCCCGCGCGGGCAGCTGCTGACGGCAGCATTGCGATACTGGGCCTCAATGCTGACACGTCAATAACACACAGCGGCTGCGGCCCCGCGCGGGCAGCTGCTGACAGCAGCATGGCACACAAACTGCGCCGTAAAAGCAAAGGGTTAAGAAAGAGGAGCGTACAAATACAGCAGAAGACGTCGCAGATTTCTTGACATGCAATAACAAGAAATGGTTCCGGCAAGCGGCCGTATTGTTCAGGAAAAATAAACATTTCTACGGATGATTAATTCCATAAGGCCGACACAGTTGAGCCATACAATTTCAGCTGTCGCTATGCATAGACGTCATTGCTACGCAGTTTTGTCATAATCCCTAGCTCAAGTTTTTACTGAGAGCATCTGCTGTATTCTCAAATCAATATCCACGAGATGCTAGGATCGACGCTCCAGTCTAAAATCCATACATGCCCATTATTCACTGCACAGGCACACGAACACCCACCACGGTCGCAAACAATCCTCCACAAACACCACACACCAACACGACGACTGAGGTGGTCATGACGCAATAGCTCCGTCATTGGAACGCCAGATCGTCACGCAACGTCCAACCAGTGGCGAGTGTGACCGGAGCACCCGTGGCGTGTTGACCTGAGTGCGGCGCGCGAGCGCAGGTCCCGGTCTTCGCTCACCCTCGGTCCGAGTTCACAGACACACCACCACCGTGGTGAGTGTGACCGGAGCACCCCTGGCGTGTTTGACCTGAGTGCGGCGCGAGCGCTGACGGCGAGCGCTGGTCCCGGTCTCCACACGGACCGTGGCGAGTGTGACCCGAGCGCCCGTGGCGTGCTTATCTGCGAGCGGCGTGCGAGCGCTGACGGCGAGCGCTGGTCCCGGTCTCCACACGGACCGTGGCGGGTGTGAACCGAGCGCCCTTGGCGTGCTTACCTGCGAGCGGCGTGCGAGCGCGGACGGTGAGGCGCTGGTCCCGGTTTCCACACGGAACGCGGCGGGTGTGACCCGAGCGCCCGTGGCGTGCTTACCTGCGAGCGGCGCGCGAGCGCTGACGGTGAGCGCAGGTCCTGGTCCTCCGCTCACCGCCGGCGGCCTGAGCTCACGGACACGCTATCACTGTGGCGAGTGTGACGGCCGACAGCTGTGGCCGGCGCACCTGCGCAGCGTCCGTGCCCCAGCTGCGACCACGTCTTCATAGCAGGCGATTGGCATCCCTAGATGACGTCAGACCGCGCGTCACCTTAACCCTGTCCCATATACTTCGCTGTGTTTACTAGTACGGCCTGTGGAAACATTGCATTCTCGTTGTCTGATTTCAAAAATACGTTTAATAAGCACTGACTAACTTTTTAAATGCAATGTTTTCTAGCAGCACTTTAAGCAGTACTCTACAAAGGCCGTTGCGGCTGATTGAATGCATCCGGTGGTACTGCTCACGCCACTTGTGTTGTCTTGACGGCTGTCCTTGGTTAGTGTTGAGAGTGACATCCACAGGGAGCAGCGTGTCAGTGTGCTGCCCAAGTGGCCAGCGATCTCGACTTTGCCCTTGCACTCGCATGCTGTACTCTGCGAACTCGAAAAGAGGCAAGGCCCCGCGCAGACAGCTGGCATGATCATCGTTGAAAACGCTGGACAGACGTGGCTGTTGCCGGCGTTAAAGTGTCCAGCTTGTCTTCCAAGGTCAATCTGGGCAAAAAACTATTTTGATTGGGTGTTTTGATGCTGGTAAAATGACTGTGATAGTCTTTACACCCTTAACCCAACACACGAATGGCCTCACGACTTGGATGAATTGTACATGACAGTTTGAACGCGCAACTTCTATGGCATAACGCTTTGACGTGCACTGTCAACAGAAATAAGCCAAGGCATGCTGAACTATGCAGCCTGACAGTTGCATATGATTTCTTCAAAACAGTCCAACTTTGGCGCAGGTAAAATCGCATGCGTAAGCGAGGATTGACTGATGTCCAATTGAGCTGAAGCAACCATGAATTAATCTGCGTAATTATGCTTTCAGAAAATATTACGTCACTGATTCAAGTTTCCACGAACGCAATATTCCTCCTGTATCCACTATTACTCGTTAGAAAATCACAAGCATTTCCATCCGGCGGAATGGTTGGAAAATTCTTAAGCTGATTTCTGAAGGATATTATTGTCTGTTCCACGACACAGAAACCTCGGAAAGTTGGGAGTGTTTCTAGGCTTTGCAGTTACTTTGAAAATAATTATTGCAATAATAGCAAAATGACGGTTTTCTTGTCAGATGTTTCATTTTAAGCCGAACATTGATCCGTGGTAACACATTTTCTGGGCATTGAATATCACATCACAGTTGCATTATTGGCCGTTTATTAAGACCAAAACACAATTGACGCCTGAAGTAAGCAGAAAAGACAGAGATGCTTCATTTTATTATCGTGGTTTGAAGGTTATGCTGACAGTAATCGACCTTTAGAATATAACAAGGTATTGGTGGACAAGGTAGCGACGCTACAAGCGAGCGTTGTGGTTATATTGACAAAACGCATCGTTTTAAAGGGGATCTTTCACATTTGAAGGCATTGATGCAAGCATGATGAAATAAGTCCACTTATAGCTATTGGTATTCCTTTAAGTGGAAAATGCTACGATAGACAACACAACTTCTCCGTTTAGTAAATGTGCTGCTTCATACGTCATTGTTTGATTGCTTCCAGGAAAGCTTGCATGCCGTTGAGGTGCTGCCAAAGAAGCCGTGCGAAATTGCTGACTTAATACTCACATTTAGTTCTTCAGTTCGCCGGAAGAAGGAAGTGGCGGTGCTGGAAGCGTTCACTGAGCCAAATATCACGGGCTTGTGTTTTGGCCCCTTCTCCTTGTGTTCTTGCATATTCATCCGTGAGTTTGAGATGCTTAGTTGCATTCACATAAGCGCTTATGACGCCATTCTTAAATTATTCCGTTACAAGTATAATTGCCGGCATGACTAGCAAGCATGTCTAACTTCTTTTACTATGTTGCACAAAACGCAATTCGTGGTTGAAGATCAGACCGTCTTATTCTCTTTCTTGCTGCATTCTACATCCTCGGACGTTTCGCTTGCCAGGGGCAGGCTACATGCGCCAGCCACATGTGGGCTGAAAGGCCAAAGCCAATACTTGGCACACCCTGCTTGGCACACCATTCTTGGCACACCCTGCTTGGCAGACCCTGCTTGGGGCTTAAGCTTGGCACACCCTACTTGGTGCTAAAGCTTGGCGGTTGCCTCCCCCCCCCCCCCCCCCCAGCCCGTTTAGCCCTACCCCACAGCTATCCAGTCTCCTTCATCCCATATCCCTGAAATGATCATTACTGGTCGAGGGGATAAATATCCAAATAACCAAATACCCAAATTGTGATTGAAAATTGCGCAGCCTGCTCAACATTGGTTGAGAGCCCATTGACGTCCACCATATTTGGAGATCGTGTTCACGGACGCCAGATCTGAACGACTCGACAATAATATTCTTCTCGGCGTTGATCACCGCATGGCCTATGGGGGGGGGGGGGGGTAGGGGGGGGGGGTAATATTTGAATGACGTTGCTGTGGTGTCATGCATGTCTGAATGGTCACGTACTAATTTGCTCGAAATAGTCTACACACCTATACGAACGTGCAGATCTTAGGTCTTAAGAAGGGCAGGTTTGTGAACCGTACCGAATGATTTTTAAAACGGTTATTTCAGTTGTAAAACTCATGCAAATGTGGAACAGGACCTTTAATACGCGTTCATGGTCACGCCCATCCAGTCCGCTTCGTACTGTGACTGTCAAGTATCAACATTGTCCACGCCTACTATGCAGCATTCAGTGTGCCCAGGCCTGTGGTAAGTGCAACAATGTGGCCCCATTAAATGAAAGACTGTTATAAAAGGGATGCTGCCACATTTGAACCCATTCATGGCACTAACCACACATGATAACCAAGGCAGTTCACAAGTGTTAGCGACTGAAGCTATTGTGCCATGACTACGCATCACCATATGCTTTCTGGACGATATTCAAGATGTGTTGTATGCTGCATACACAAGTTAATCATTAGTGTTGCTGTGAAGCATTCAAACGCATTGCAATAGCATTGCAACTATTCACCCCCACTCAGTGCATGACAATAATGCTATGTTGACTACGGTAACAATGAGACAGAGCTGTTGTACTTATGCTGCTTAAGTCCAAGTTGGAGGAAATATTTTGGATATAATGCATATGATAGTGTGAGTATAATAATGCACTAAACGATAAAACTGCATCAAAGAGCTTCCACATTATCCGCCTGCTGCTGACATGCCTCGTGGGTCAAGGGATTTATTGTAGTCGATTTTAGTCGATTTAAGATGTGCGACACACCAAGTTTCATTACCCTTGTCATGTTAGCATTTTAACTTCTTTTGGTCAGCGATAGACGCTTCGTCTAGGTTTCGGCAGCAATGATTCAGTTCCGACGAATCTTTTTTCAACAAAACTCCATTCGTGTTTCCATGCTGATACTGTCACGCAAAAAAGTCCGCAGCAGAAACAAGACGCACTTAAGCAAGTGATCAGGACAGTCATGCACGGAATACCGTCGGACACCCGTACTAGCGTAGCCAAGGAGGTCCAGTGGCGTGCTTTTATGTGTGCTGAGCGGAAAGGACGGTTTTTGGAGCACGTGCCCTCGTGAGCGCAAAATGCTCTTTCTTTGCATTTAATCTGAATCTTTCGAGTGGATGGATTTCCTGAATCAGTGCCCACGCTGAGCAGCATAGCGTGGGCCGTTAGCTCTGACCCTACCATCCGATCGTAAAATTCCGGGTCGACTACAAATTTTGGGGCGAAAGCTTAACGTGCTGCAAAGTTCGGTGCGGCATGTGGTGCCCTCGATTTCTACTGAACCTTAGCTGGGCCGGTGTCTCCGGCCGCGGGCCATTCCAGCCAAGGACAAAAGGCGATGCCTAGAGCGACTTGAACCTACCCCGTCATAGTTGGGTGAATCGGAAGGTGGTCACTCTAACCACCTGAGCTGTCATGGCGGGTAACCCATGATGGTACGCAGAAGCGCAGCCAGGGGGCACAGGGGGCACGTGCCCCTCCTTAGGTTCCGATTTGAGGGCACGAAGGGCCCGAAAAGCTAGCCAGAGGTCTCATTCAGGGGCCCTGGCCCGCAGGGCCGGGCATCCAATGCCAACCAGAGGGTCCTGTGCGCTGATCAGGGGGCCACTGGGGCGATAAGGGCCTATATATCTGTCAGACAGCACCAGTAACGCACAGTCGGCTCCGTAGTGGCATGGGCCTAAGGGCCCCATTTCTCAAGCAGGGACGAAGCCGAAGCTAACGATTTACATTGCTCGGGGCCCACATCACCTAACAGGGTTATATTGTGGTTATATTGACAAAACGCTGTGTTGTCAAGGGGCCCGAGTCGCCAGAGGCAGTGTTCGAGGAGGCCCGAAGAGCCGAGAGGGCCCACGGGTCAAAAGATCAAGGGCCCGATTGGAGGGTCTAAGGGTATAAGGAGCTGATCGGAATCTTATTCAGGGGCCCAGACATGCGAAGACGGACCTTCAGACAACGGTCTGAGAGCCGTTTGCGGCGATCGGGGACCCTCTTAGTCGATATGTGCCTATATGTCAGTCAGGTACCACTGTACCACATAGTCGGCTCCGGTCGGTATGGGCCTGAAGACCCACTTCCCAATCAGCTATAAAGCCGGGGCTGGCGATTTACACTGGTCGGGGGCCTTGTATATGTCAGGGTTCCACAGCGCATAACAGAGGGTCCTGTGCTCACAAGGGCCCAAAGCCGACCAAGGGAAGTGTTCGATGAGGACCGAAGAGGGGCCCGGGCGGCCTACCGGAACCGACCATCAAAAGCCCGGTTGGAGGGCATAAGGGCCTGAAGGACTGGCTGTAGGTCACATAAAATCGCGGTCGTGACCTGAAATATCAGTCAGAGGTCTTCTTGCACCGTTTTAGGAATCCCTAAGGCAATGCGGGTGTCTAAGTCGGTCAGGGACTACGAACATCGAACAGTCGGCTCCATGTCCCTCTGAGCCCTTGAGACCCATTTGCCAAGCAGAAACGAGGCCGGGGACTGCGATGTGCAATGTT